GCATGCCTAACAGAAGGTGTGTTCCCTAGTCGCTGGAAACAACAGCGGCTGGTACTCATACCAAAGGGGGACAAGCCGGCGGAGGAGCCTTCTTCATATAGGCCACTCTGCATGCTAGATACGGTGGGTAAAATTCTCGAAAGAATAATCCACTCCCGGCTAGAAGGTGCCCTTGTCGAAACCAACGGCCTCTCAGAGATGCAGTACGGTTTTCGGAAGGGACTATCTACCATTGACGCCGTCGGTAAACTGTGTGAAATCGCAGATAAAGCCATCGAGGGGAAAAGGTGGCTGTACGGCACTAAGCAGTACTGCATAGCGGCAACGCTGGATGTTAAAAACGCATTCAACTCCGCTAGCTGGGACCACACTCTAAATGCATTGAGAAACCTAAATGTTCCAATGTATATACAGAGAGTAATAGCGAGCTACTTCGAAGGCCGCCTGCTCCTGTACGAAACTGATTCCGGGCAATCGACCCACAGGGTGAGCGGGGGAGTCCCACAAGGATCAGTCCTAGGCCCATTGTTATGGAATGCCATGTACGATGGGATCCTTAGGATCACGATGCCCGAAGGGGCACGACTCATTGGCTTTGCCGATGACGTAGCCATAGTAGTTTCTGCAAAGAAACTCCCAGATGCGCAGAGGATCTGCAACGAAGCTGGGAAACGAGCAAGCGCATGGCTCGACGCCAAGGGACTCACCTTGGCAGCGCACAAGACGGAAGCAGTCCTGATAAGTAGCAGGCAGGTAGTAGAGACGGCAACTATCAAAATTGGAGAAGCCACAATAAAATCTCGCCCAAGCCTAAAATACTTGGGTGTCATGATTGACCACCGGCTAACCTTCAAAGATCATCTAGCGTACGCTAGTGGCAAGGCAGGTAGGACCGCGGCCGCAATCTCGAGGATTATGGCAAATACTCGGGGACCGAGGCAACCAGGTCGGAGATTACTGGTAAGCGTTGTCACATCGACGCTGATGTACGCTGCTCCCATATGGGCCCGAGCCACTGAAACGGAAAGTTATATGCAAGAAGCCGACTCCGTGCAGAGGCTGTGTGCCCTGCGGGTATGCTGTGCGTTCCGCACGGTATCCCATGATGCGGCATTGGTAATATCGGGAATCATACCGATCGACCTGCTGGCACTGGAATCAGTGGAGATCCGAGCAGGCAGCTCAGGAATCGCACCTGCTGAACCCCTACGGAAAAGGTGCAGAGAACTTACCATTGCGAAGTGGCAAGAGAGATGGGAACGAAGTAGCACAGGACGTTGGACGTATAAGCTTATCCCAGAACTGCAGAGATGGCTGGGAAGGAAGCATGGACATGTGGACTTCTACTTAACGCAACTGTTGACAGGACATGGATGCTTTAAATACTATCTAAATAGGTTTAAGCATGAAAGTTATCCGCACTGTCCACTCTGCGAGTCGGATAACGAAGACGCAGAACACGTGTTTTTTGTCTGTCCGAGATTTGAAAATGAACGAAGAGATCTGAGCATGAGGGTTGGGAGGACGCCAGCCGCTTGTAACCTGGTGGATATTATGCTTGACTCAGAAGAAAATTGGTCTGCTGTATGCAACATGGCCACAATAGTACTCAAAAAACTGCGCATCGCAGAAAGACTGCGAAATTCCAATAGGATAGAATCCTAGAGAGCCCTAAGGGCATTCCCCCCCGGCGAAGTAATACCTAACGGCAGTACCGCCGGGGAAGCGGGGAGGGGGTGGAGTTTTTACTGGGTTAGAGTCCCAGACTTCGGCAAGCTAGCCCAGCTCCGAGTTGGCTTTCGATGCTTTTCACCACCACTAACAAAAAAAAAAAAAAAAAAAAAAAACACAAGGACTTGAGGGTAGGGGGTGATACTCGAGTTCGTGGGTGCACGTGCAGTTTCTCCGGGTTGTTCTTAGAAGATAACGAGGGGTCACAATATTTTGAAATGCAATAAAACGATAGGATTCCTTCGGATATCAAACACACTGATTATGGGAATTGTATATGTTTGCGTCTGTAAACTAATTTACGATTTTATACAAAACTAATAAAAAAATCGCCGCTCCCGCTTATTCTAGCTACTAAGGTGATATTTCAAAAAACACCGAAGCTAGAATTTTTTAAAGTTTTTTTTTCCGATTGTTCCTATGGGAACTATAAGATATAGTTGTCCGATCCGGTCGGCTCCGACATATATACTACCTGCAATAGAAAGAAGACTTTTGGGAAAGTTTCATCCCGATAGCTCAAAAACTGAGAGACTAGTTTGCGTAGAAACAGACAGACGGACAGACGGACATGGCTAGATCGACTCGTCTTGTGATGCTGATCAATAATATATATACTTTATGGGGTCGGAAACGTCTCCTTCACTGCGTTGCAAACTTCTGACTGAAATCATAATACCCTCTGCAAGGGTATAAAAATGGGTTTTCTCTCGAAAGGAAAAAGTATAGGCCTGCTGTGATATGTGCATAAATTTTACATAGGAAATCAAGATATAAAAGATATAAAATTGTATTCTGAATTTAGGTTAGCTGCTATTTTTTTGTTTGCTTCAATATATTTATTGACTATATAAGGAACTATCTTTAATAAGAAATGCCATAAAGAAACGAATTACCTTTCAAATGAGCTATACCATAAGAATAAATGAGAACTACCATAAGGGTTAAGATAAAAAATGGCTCAAAGTATTCCAACCAAGCCTATTCCTACAAAATGGATCGCGCGTTCCTTCAAATCTTTCGAAATATTTTGAATAAAACTGAATAATGTTGTGAAGATATTCTTAAATAGTTAGGAATTGATTTAAAGCTACATAAACAAAATTTAAAACTGCTAAAGGAGGTCTAATTTTTCTTGCAGCTTAAAAGATTCGCTTCTTATTACGTGGATTTGGTTATTTATTACTACATAAGAAAGATATGCCAAAAGTGGAGTTTTGGAATCGTAAACTATTTAAAATATGTAGAATATTGGAATTTAATGGTAAATAGGCTAATCTTACAGATTCAGCTTTAGGAAGTACACATTACGTATTTTTCCTTACCCTTTTGAATTTTAATAATCAAAAAGCAATGTTACGACTGAAGCATTACTGAACAGGTCACACATACACACTCATACATTCACAAAAGACCGTTTTCCTTAACAGACCGAGCAAAGTAGTCAGTAGAAACCGAAACCGAAATAACTCTGAAAAAAGGGGTTTTGCACTGAGCGTAACATCTAATAAGCAAAATCCCTTTTAAGGGGTTAGCTCACTCCCAGTTGTCATAGGGTTTTTTGTGACAGGTTTTTTCCTAACACCTTGAAAAGGTTGACCGAACCTTGCAAGCTCTGTAAAAAACATTAATTCGCTCCGCTGCAAACACCAAGATCCAGCGCGGCACCATTATTTCACGGTCTCTCCTGTTTGGCTGTGTCCAAGTTCCACCATTTACTGGTGGTCCTGAAAGACCTTGAATTCTGCCGCATTCTAGCTGCATTCGCTGTTGCTACACACAAAAAAAATGCTTGGTAAAATTGACCAACAAAGATAGTTACGTAACTATGAAAATAGTTACGTGTATTTTGTTTTTGCTTTGGGTGTGTGTCTTTGCTAATTGTGTGTATTTTGTTGTTATGGAATAACTATTTACTTAGTTTGACAATTATTACAGTTGATTTTACCAAGTTATTTTTTGTGTGTATACAGAAAAAAATATGACAAAATATCAAATTGATATTTGTTAGTTAATTTGATCTTTTTTAAGGATCAAGTTTCGTCATATCATTCTAACATGAAGAAATATTATTTTGATCTTATTTCATATTAATTTTTGAAAAAAAATACTGAATTCGGTATTTAAAACAAGTATATTTACAATTTATATGAAATCGTATGACTTTGATATGAAATAATATCAAATGTCGTTTCGAATTTAGTTCGAAAGGGAGAAATAGTGTTCCACAGTTTACAACACTGTACCAATGTGAGATTGTGCAGCACTGCAAAAACAGCTGGCCCAACTTTGAGACCAAAAATATTCGAGAACAAGGTGTTTTTATTGTCAAATGAAATCAATTTATTTTTTTATTGAGTTCTAAGTCGAAACATTACACAGTTGTGGTGATTTTAACTTTGCCGTCGAGTTAGCACACAATTTAAAGACATTTCGGTTCTGAATGTGCGTGTGTGTGTGTGCCGGCCGCAGTTTTACGTTGTGTGTGTCACAGGCAAAACTAAAATAATAAAATATTGAAGATTTTGCTGGCCCACCTATACATATGTACACCGACTCAAAAAAATGTGAAATGATTAGAATTAAATTGTTTTAATATAAAATAAAAATTTCTGTTTTACTGGGGGGTACTAATATACACGAAATAATATCATTTTGATGAACAAAATTGATATAAAAAATATCATTTTGATGACAAAAATTGATATAAAAAATATCATTTTGATGACCAAAAAGTTCAAATGTTATTTTAAACACTAATCTTTCTTAAGATTGAATTGATATTTAAAAATATCAACTTGATATTCTCGAAAATATCAACTTGATATGTTCGAAATATCAATCTTGCATTTATTAATATCGGCCCAAATTTGATATGAAATAATGTTAACTTGAGTGCAATTTCATATCAATTTTTTTTTCTGTGTAGGGGCTCGAGATTTGTGGGGAGTTTTAAGACTTCTCACAACCTAACATGTATGTGTCCATTTATTGCATCTTAAATTTTCGTTCTCATAAAATTCGACCTAAACAATAGGGCAATTTTTGGAAAACGAACCCTAAAAAAAATTGTCTATTGCGATTTTTCTTATATTTAGGGCTGACAAATTAAAAATGTTAAAAAATTTTATGAGTGTAGCCAAGTCGATCTAGCCATGTCCGTCGTATTTTCGTGAACACATTTCAGAAGAATATTTAATTTTTGTAATCGTAAACTGAATTATAAATATTTGAAGTATAAAAGAATCAAGGAATTAGATAGCATGAGGTTAAGTTCAACAGCAGTATAAGTTTATTATTAACAACAATTTTCACAGAGGATTGTGAAGTTATTTTTGGGGAATAATGCTCAATAGTTAAAAATTGGGTGGCAGGTATGCGTTGCCCGTGTGCGATCCGGCGGATCCGGTGGAGATGATCTGGGCTGCTCCAGTACCGCCCACAGCGGATCCCGCATCGACGTGCCCGTCGCTGCCTCCAAGTGCTCCAATCACGGAGGTAACGGGGGCTACTCCCTCATCGGTCAGCTGGCTGCTGCCACCCAGGGCATCGTACTGGGCCTGGATCTGCTGCTGGGCGTGGGCGGCCTCCTCGTTGGTCTTGTACTTAATGAAGAAGACCTCCGGCTTACTGGTGGAGCTGGCCTGCTCCACAACTTCAGCGTTCAAATCGCTTTCGCCCTTCTTGCTCAGCACGTAGATGACGGTCTTCTCCTCGTTGGCGGCGGGACTGATCTTGATGGTCTTCCTATTGTTGCGCTGGGGCGACTTGATGAACACCACGTTGTAGTTGCGCTTGGGGACGCCGACGGTGATGTGACGCTCCTTGTAGTCCTCGGCCTCCTCCGGGGCGGAGTGGATAAAGAAGCGCTTGGAGACGATGGCTTGCTGCTGCTGCACCTGCTGGGCCTGTTGCACCTGATGCTGATGGTGGTGGGTCTGCACGGCTGGTTGCTGGTAGATGGCTTGCGGCTGCACCGGGGCAGCCTGAGCGGCTCCCTGGAAAAAGGAGGCGCCCCCACTAGTCGTGCTGATGCCACCGAAGCCGGACGGGCCAGGATTGTAGTTGTAGCCCTGGGGCGCGGCCAGCGCGACGGCGGAAAGACACAGGACCTAATGAGCAATAAGAAAGGATTAGTCCGGTAATTAGTCGACGTCGCTTTTCTGCCTTACAATAAATCCACGCATTTCTGGGCTAGGTTGAGCGGTTGTGGTGGGGCTGGGAGCACTTGAGGTTCGACTTCCTTAGTGGTTCGTAGTGAACTGCATGACTTCTTGGTTGTTCGTGCGGCTTTTATACGTAACTCCCATTTCCAATTTCGATGCCGGCACTCGAAAGTTAATGGGTGAAGTTCAACAAAGATCCGTAGAGCCATGGAAAGAGTCATGGTCCGCATCCAAAGCTGCCAAAAAGAGCGCGCAGCCTCCATTTGTTGCATGTTCATTGTATTTGTTTTAGTTCGCTTCGTCTTCTGCTCTTCTTCGCCATTCACCTTCGAGCCCCTTCGCATCCCTCATTAAATGGCGAGACTTGCTTGTAGTTGCTGGCAATACATGGTCAATTAGCGTGGTTCCCCCAGTAAAGTCTTTGTTGTGGCGCTTAATTGTTAGCCCCGATTCATCTATACACCGATCCACCGACCCCCGATGCGGTCATTACGTTGGGAGTTTGCGTTTGCCTTTTAGCCAGTAACCACCGCTGCACAGTGCGTCGATTAAGTGGTATTAAAAGTGTAATTGCACAAGTATTTAATCAATACTAGTTTATCACGTAGCTAGGAATCCTAGCCCTCCCCCGCGATGAGTATTCCCAAGCCCTAGCCCCACAGCAGCAACTCGTGGCGCAGCCTCATGCCCAAAGAAGTTCAAAACCTCCATTCAAAACCACCGCTGATGCGCGTTGTCAAGCTTAATTAATGGCCCGCCGAGCGTAGTATTTGCCCGCATCTTTCAAACCGATCGTTTCTTCACCGGCTGCAACGAAATTCATTTATCATGTCTAGCGGTCAGCCTTAACTTTCTTGGAGATAAATACCCCTTTGATTATGTTTTCAAAGCGATTTGTTCACATTTCTGCACTGGGGTCTTCGCATAGCTAAGTGTGCTATCCCCCTTGAACACTTGCCGTTGATGTAATGAGCCGTTTACATGAATGAACTGAGTCGGATCCCCCAGCACGACCCTCTGTTTTTGAGATACCCTAATAAACATCCCATGTCCAGTCTTCTTTTACGCATTTCAGCAGAAGTAAAAATCGATTTCAAAGCTGTTTGTGCAACAGCAAGCAAGTTCTGAGAAATACATTGGTGGTATTCAATCCCATTGCAAAAGTGTAAAATTTGTAAGTTTGCCAGACAAAAATTGTGAAAGACCTTTTGTCAAAAATCTCTGCAAGATATTGACGTACAAGAAAAGGCTAACTTATTTTTATATTGATTGAAAATTACACAGGCCGACAGTGTTTTTGGTGCAGCCCTATGGGCATTAAATTGTGTTAATATAGATAGTTATAAGCATAACTGCACACTTAGTTTTCGAGTTTAACGGGTTGTATTTGTGCAACCGCGATTTTAAAAAAAGTAGCAACATTTAATTTTTATACCCTTGCAGAGGGTATTATGATTTCAGTCAGAAGTTTGCAACGCAGTGAAGGAGACGTTTCCGACCCCATAAAGTATACATATTCTTGATCAGCATCACAAGACGAGTCGATCTAGCCATGTCCGTCTGTCCGTCCGTCTGTCCGTCTGTCTGTTTCTACGCAAACTAGTCTCTCAGTTTTTGAGCTATCAGGACGAAACTTTCGCAAAAGTCTTCTTTCTATTGCAGGTAGTATATATGTCGGAACCGACCGGATCGGACAACTATATCTTATAGCTCCCATAGGAAGGATCGGAAAAGAAAACGTTAAAAAAATTCTAGCTTCGGTGTTTTTTGAAATATTACCTTCTACTTTTGGGGATGTTATTTTTTAAATATTTCTGAATTTCGAATTAAATATTTAAAAAATCGGACTACTATATCATATAGCTGCCATAGGAACGATCGGAAAATTAATGGAAAAGTAATAGGAAATAAATTCTAGCTTCTTTGGTTTTTATTGTATTATCTTCTTTTTAAATATTTCCGAATTTCAATTTTAATTTGATCAAAATGATTGAGAAATATTAGAAAATTGAACATTTTTGCGATTTGTTAATTAATAGGAATGATCTGCAAGGGTATATAAGCTTCGGCTGGCCGAAGCTAGCTTCCTTTCTTGTTTGATTTAAGATATCTTTGAGGGTTTGTGCTCAGTTGTAATAAAACCTGTGCCAAAAAATTGCTTAGCTGTTCTTCTACATTATTGCATTTAAGGTTCCATCATAATTTGAGTCAATCAAAGCCTACACACAAAAAATTTGCTTGGTAAAATTGACTAATGAAGATAGTTAAGTAACTATAAAAAAAAAAAGTACTTTAACAATAAAAATAGTCGTCCGAGCATTTGCTTTTGGTTTGGGTAACGTAACTTCTTTAGTGTAAAAGTATGCAACAGTAATTTTACAAATGCCTCTTTTATAATTCCCAACTGGGTCTAGCCCTTCATGAACCAAGCCCAAGTCAGATTCTGAGTCATTAAGACTTATGGTAATAGTCTAGAAGACGGGCCTGTGCCCCAAAAACCGCGAAAAAATTACCCTCGATGGACCGCGATTTCTTAGGAATTTACGTGCAGAAGATTATCGGCGGAAATGCATGTTTCTCTTGTAATTGCATTTCAAAGTGGAATGTTTCCCTATAAAAACAACGTAGCATTTTCTAGGATTTTTAGGTGTTTAGTGACATTTTACTATAAACAAGAGAGAACGCTATAGTCGAGTGCCTCGACTATTAGATACCCGTGAAAAACGTATACGAGCAAAAAGAGACAAAATGCGCGCCCCATTTCAAATAATTTAAAATTTGCATTAACATAATGTGAATTAGAGTGACCACAGAAAAAAAGCCAGATATTTTCCAATGCCATTTCCTAGATGGCGCTAGTGTATATTGTATTGCGCCATCTACCGCCAGATATTGGTACTACTGGTCATGAAAGGCGGAAGTGTAGGCGATGGCCAGGTTTAAGCGTTTATTGGGTTTGTGGGCGTTAGAGTGGGCGTGGCAATTTTTGACTTGGCCAATCGATAGGTATTGACGAAGCGAATACATATCAGTTACTATTTTCATAATAGCTTCAAAACTGTGGGCGTTAGAGAGGGCGTGGCACCTTTTTGAAACAAACTTGCGCTGCGTAGGAGCTCCTAGAATCTGCATGCAAAATGCCAATCTTCTAGCTTTTATAGTTTCCGAGATTTCAGTGTTCATACGGACAGACAGACAGACAGACATGGCTGGATCGACTCGGCTAGTGATCCTGATCAAGAATATATATACTTTATGGGGTCGGAAACGCTTCCTTCTAGCTGTTACATACTTTTGCACGAATACAATATACCCTTTTACTCTACGAGTAACGGGTATAAAAACATATGGGCTTTTCGTTTGTTGTCAAAATAATAAAATTCGACAAAGATGTGAAATTGTTTTTATAGCAGGCCAGACCCCACAACAGCGAATTAAATATCATCGGTGGGCAGTGATACCTTAAGAACTGGAGTGACCATGGATGACCAAGACATACATATCCTTTAGGTGAATCTGAAGAAATCGCGGTCCAAGGATGATTATCTATTATAACCTTTTTCACGGTCCTAGCCGTTATAAAACCTTTAATTTTTATATTTTTAAACAAAATCGTAGAGAAGGCTACAACACAATTAGCAAAGACACAAACCCAAAGCAAAAACAAAATACACGTAACTATTTTAATAGTTACGTAAATATCTTTGTTGGTCAATTTTACCAAGCAAATTTTTTTGTGTGTACGCATATGTTGGTCATCCATAGTCATTCGAGTTCTTAAGGAATCACTGTCCACCGAGGATAGTTAATTCTTAAGATTCATTTTAAAATTGTATATGATAGTCATCCATGGTCGCTCCAGCTCTTAAAGAATCACGGTTGTGGGGTCTGGTTTCCTATAAAAAGAATTTCACATTTTTGTCGAGTTTTTTCGGACGCCTATTATTTTGACAGCAAACGGTTTTTTATAGCAAAATGTCACAAAACACCCCAAAACCCTAGAAAATGCTACTTTGTTTTTATAGCAAAACACGCCACTTTGAAATGCAATTACAAGAGAAACATGCATTTCCGCCGATAATCTTCTGCTCGTAAATTCCTAAGAAATCGCGGCCCATCGAGGGTAATTTTTTTTCGCGATTTTTGGGGCACAGGCCCCTCTTCTAGACTATTACCAGACTTATTTTCTGTCTTAAGTCTTGCATATACTTCCACACTAGCTGGAAGTCAAGTGCAACCCGCACCTTTATAAGAAGTAGGATAAGTCACTTTTGGAAAAGGTAATTGGACAACTACCTTTTTAATATAACCTATAAATTACTGTGAAATAACTATTAATAATTGTATATTTAGTATAAAAATAGTAAGTTAACTACAATTTCTAGTTTAGGCACATTCTACCCTTTTTTACAGTTGCATAACTATTTTTTATAGTAACACTTACGTTTACGAATTACGTAAGAGCAACAATTTACTTAGTAGAATTGATCATTTGTATGGTTGGGGCCTGTTGGACAATTAATACAGTTAATTTTACAAAGTTTTTTTTTTGTGTACAGACAGACAGACGGACAGACGGACGGACAGACGGACATGCCTAGTTCGACTCGGCTAGTGACCCTGATCAAGAATATATATACTTTATGGGGTCGGAAACGCTTCCTTCTTGCTGTTACATACTTTTGCACGAATGCAATATACCCTTTTACTCTAAGAGTAACGGGTATAATTATAAGGGGTTGTATTTTAAAGTTTTCATCCTACAAAATAAAACAAGCCGCACAAAAAAAAAAACTTAGTAAAATCAACTGTAATAATTGTCAAACAGGCCCCAACCAGCAAAATTGTCAATTCTACTAAGTAAATAGTCATTTCACAACAACAAAATACACACAATTAGCAAAAACACAACCCCAAAGCAAAAACAAAATACACGTAACTATTTTAATAGTTACGTAACTATCTTTGTTGGTCAATTTTACCAAGCAAAGTTTTTTGTCCGCGGATATGGGTAAAATCAAAATTAATTGAAACCGAGTAATGGGTGAACCCGCTTGGGCGATATTAAAACAGACTCGTCGAGTGGTGTCGAGTACGACACCTTCAGTGCGACACAATCTTCCGACTAAAACTTAAAAAAAACTTTAAGCAAGGCACTCTAGGAAATGTATATTGAATGCTAAACCTCCACTGAGTAACCTCTGCTTCCTGCTTATTTTTTAAGTTTTACCAAGTACAAGTGTTTTAAAATTGAGCATTGTTATATGTGTTTCTATAATAACACATTTGGCTGGCTGTTTTAAAACAATCGCTGCCAATCATTTCATGATTTTCCTTACAATATCAACGGGGAAAGGGAAGACATAGGATCTTGTGTCTTCGTTGCAGATAGAGTTCAGGGTCTGCAGGTATCGCAACTGCAAGGCAATGGGGTTGGTTTCCATAATGTCGGCGGCCTCCTTCAGCGCCTTTACTGCATCTCGTTCTCCCTGGGCAGCGGCCACCTTGGCCTTGGCCTCCCGCATCGCTTCCTGCTCTACAGCCAGGGCGCGCTTCAGTTGATCCGGCATAAAGATCTCCTTGCTAACGAATATTTGCATAACCAGTGAATGTTCCAGGGAAAGACCCGCAAATACTTACATCTCCACCCGTTCCACGCGTACTCCCCAAGGCTCTGTGGAGTTGTACAATATACCTTCGATCTGATTGGACAGGTACTCCTTCGACGAGAGCAAATCCATTAGCTTGTGGGTGCCGGCCACGTTCCGCAGAGTGGTCATGGCCAGCTTCTCGGTGGCTTCCTCTGCATCGTATACTTGCAGCATTGCATCAAAAGGGCTTTTGATACTGTAGTACACCACTCCGTCGATGCTTATCGTCACCATGTCGCGAGTAAGGATTTCCTGTCTGTCCAGATCAAATGATCTGGTGCGTATGTCGACGACAAAGACGTCGTCGATGCATGGCACCAGAAAGATGACGCCTGGCCCCCTTGGAGGTTTGGGACGCAGCCGTCCCAGACGTAGGATCACCGCTCGTTCATACTCTGACATAACCCTGAGGCAGCAGAATATGGACCAAGGCAATGCAAGGACTATTAGAATCATCGAAATAACAAACAAGGTTTTCTCTGCACACGACGGGGGAACATTTTCACCTATTTAAAAAAAAAGAGGAAACGAAAATAATGGATACTGAAATATCACAATGAAGGAATTGAGCTACATTTATGTATATATATATGTAGATGTATACATATGCGTTCTATATATCGAACGTTTTATTTTTTACTCAATATTTTAAAACTAAAAAAACCATTTTTAAAATTTTATTTAAAAACAAGAAAGGAAGCTTGCTTCGGCCAGCCGAAGCTTATATACCCTTGCAGATCATTCCTATTAAGGGCTAGTACTCAACCCAACAAAAAGTCGTCCAAAACAAAAACTTCATATGAAACAAAAATTTTTGACCTTGTTTTTATAAAGTTTGTTGTTTTGGACGACTTTTGGTTGGGTTGAGTACTAAGCCTAACTTGCAAATTGCAAATATATTTTAAATTGCGTATTGTTTTGACATTAATTTTTCTATCCTTACCTGTGGCAGCTATATAATATAGTCATCCGATTTTTGTTAAATTCCGAGATTCGAAATTCCGAAATATTAAAAAAAATCATATCCTAGAGTAGAAGAGAATACAATAAAAATCAACGGAGCTATAATTTGTTTCCAATTAATTTCCCATTAAATCGGTTCTATGGCAGCTATATGATATAGTCGTCCGATTTTGATCAAATTAAAATTGAAATTCGGAAATATTTAAAAAGAGTCATATCCTAGAGTAGAAGAGAATACAATAAAAACCAAGGAAGTTAGAATTTATTTCCTACTACTTTTCCATTAATTTTCCGATCGTTCCTATGGCAGCTACATGATATAGTCGCTCGATTTTTTAAATATTTAATTCGAAATTTAGAAATATTTAAAAAATAACGTATCCAAGAGTAGAAGGTAATATTTCAAAAAACACCGAAGCTAGAATTTTTTAACGATTTTTTTTCCGACCCTTTCTATGGGAGCTATAAGATATAGTTGTCCGATCCGGTCGGTTCCGACTTATATACTTCCTGCAATAGAAAGAAGACTTTTGGGAAAGTTTCAAGCCGATAGCTTAAAAACTGAGAGACTAGTTTGCGTAGAAACGGACGGACAGACGGACATGGCTAGATCGACTCGTCTAGTGCCCACCGATGATATTTAATTCGCTGTTGTGGGGTCTGGCCTGCTATAAAAACAATTTCACATCTTTGTCGAATTTTATTATTTTGACAACAAACGAAAAGCCCATATGTTTTTTATATTAAAATTATAGTAAAATGTCACAAAACACCTAAAAATCCTAGAAAATGCTACGTTGTTTTTATAGCAAAACACGCAACTTTGAAATGCAATTACAAGAGAAACATGCATTTCCGCCGATAATCTTCTTCACGTAATTTCCTAAGAAATAGCGGTCCATCAAGGGTATTTTTTTCGCGGTTTTTGGGGCACAGGTCCCTCCTCTGTTACCCAATTAACATATCACTATGGACGGCAGTCCATGGTGTGACGAAGGAAGCGCACAAGGAGAGTGTTGGAAGGCGACTACTATTATATAGCCGCAAAATTGAAAATCTGCTGTGATAGTCCGATCGTAATGAGTAATACACCAATCGAAGGGTATTGCAAAAACTTAAAGGATTGCATACCAAGACTTTAAGAAAATCAATTGGCTTGGTAGAGAGAACGGTGAAAGTGAAAAAGTGCAAATTTGGAAATTGGAGCTGTTGGGGCCGGTGGGGATAAATGCCCCCTCGCAATGTTTTAGTTGTTTTCCTATTGAAAATACCCGTCGATAAAATATGATCAAATGCGACGCTCCGTTCAAAAGTTATAACCAAAAGAATATTTTCTTTTTCTTCCCAAAATGAAAATTTAATTCGGTTTGTCAGTTTGTGTGTCTGTCCCAAAACGTTGGTTTAAAGTCCTGCAAATTTTATATGGTGTTAAACAGCTTGATATAAGAAACATTAGTTCTGTTTTGGAAAAACTCGCTAGTTTAGCGGAAAAACAAGTACTGTTTTGAACTATTTTTTATTTTTCTCAAAAACGGCTCTTACGATTTTCTTTAAAACTTTAATCTATATAGCCCAGATTCCTTAAATTTTGGTATATAACACAATATTGTAAAAACTCTCGTTTAAAAGTTATTAAGAAACGAAAATAGCCAGTTTTGTCAGCTCAGAACAACTATCGCTGCCTTAGTATTGAATTTTGCGGGAGCGTATCCAAGCTGTATTTTAGGGTCATGGAATAATTTAGATTGTTTTAAGCAGTTTCATATACAAAGCTTTAGTTTTACGACTTTTGAAAAAAACCCGCTACTTTAGCGGGAAAAAAGCTACAAATAGCCTTATTTTGGGAGTTCGTAACAGTCATGTCCTATACCTTTTTTTAAAAGGTTGTTTGATCCCAAGCGTGGCTTGTGGATCAATATAAGTTTGTATACGAGTCCTCTTCCCGGAGGGCAGAAAGGATGACCGCGGAGTTATAAGATGTGTTGATAACTGATTTATTGTGAATTTGGTACTAGCTTATATACTAGACTCCTGCATGAATCTATTCAAATTGAATTATACATACTGTACAGTATTAACTGTACTCAACATTTACTGTAAAGTCTACTAAGTGTGTAGTGCACAGTGTCAGGCAAACTGAAATGAGTACACCTTTTTTGAGTACACCTTAAAAATGAATGCTACGATCATTCATCGATTTTCATGCTGTACACCTCATAAAAAAGGTGTTCAGTAAAAATTCCATATGAACAGTAGTGTGCTTACTGTCATGTACAACAATAATATTGAAACTGTATGAAAATAATTTCGTAAGCATGGAAATGGAAACCGTAAGAATATTTATCAAATTTTGTAAGATTGATGGTTAATTTTTGTATTTGTGGTACATTTAGCTGGAATTGTCTAAGACCGAGATGGCAAATATAAAATGTAAAATAATTAGTGGAGAATACACCGTGACCAATAAACGAGGAAGCAGCAAGGTATGGAACACCTTTGGGAAAATTGATGACCATAACGGACAAGAGTTAAAAAGTGTTGTGTGCTGCAGAACTTGCAAAAATGTTTATCGATTTAAAAAAAGTACTTCAAACCTTGTAAAACATAAGTGCTACATAATAGATAATACAAAGAGGACAGCTGGGCCAGAAGAAGTGGAAGTGGATTTGGCAACAAAACATTACGGAGTAAAAATTATAACGGAATGGACTTTAAAAAACGGACGATCTTTTAATATAATTGACGACTCAGGACTAAAAAAGTTAGCGCAGTTTCTCATTAAAGTCGGTGCCACCTTTGGGGAAAATGTAAATATTAATAAGTTATTGCCCCATCCAACCACTATCTCAAGAAACATATCGAAAATTTATTTCGACTACTTCACGGAGATAAAAAATGAAATTCTAAAAAATAAAACTCACGGCTATAGCATAACGACAGATATTTGGACTGACGACCATTTAAAAACGTCCTATTTATCGCTTACCATTAATTTTATCAAAGAAGGGAGTTTAGTTAATCGATTATTGGCAATAAAATCAATGAAGGGTGAATCTTGTACCGGTAAGTAAAAACACAGCAACAAATTTGCTTTAACAAAGAATATCCATAGGCATAAGAATAAAACGAAAAATTTCCAAAATTTTGAACGAATTTCAATGTGACCTGGAACTAGACGAACCTATCATAGTTACAGATCGAGGTTCTAACATGATATCGGCATTTCGTGGACTACCACATATATTTTGCATCAACCATTTGTTGCATAATATAATTGAAAAAACAATAAAGGAAGTTCCAGAACTAGAAGAATTGGTTAAACGATGCAGTAAGCTCGTAAAATACTTTAAAAAATCTGGAATGAATTCAAGCTTGGACATTTCCCTTAAAAGTTTTTGCCCAACACGGTGGAACACCGTATATTACCTGATTAAGTCGATAGAAACAAACTGGATTCAAATTCTAAATATTTTAAATGACAAAAACCAAATGGAAAAGGTAGCGGAAATAAGTTTGAGCAACTTAAGGGAACTTATAAAATTACTGTCTCATTTTGAAATGGCATCCAAAAAATTAGAAGCTACGAAGGAACCAACATTGCATTTGGTTATTCTACATATCAATCATTTACGAAAAATTTGCAGTTTAGACACAGATGATCCGGAAATTATTCAAAATACCAAATTTAAGTTACTTAATCTTATTCAAAATGTAGTTCTCCAAAATTTAACAAAGTTTCATAGAATGGCTTTATTTCTAAACCCGCAAACCAACAAATTGTCCCAGTTTTCCGAAGAGGAAAAAGAGGAAACAATTGGCGACATAAAAACCATTATGAATTTGTATGCTTCTGATTCTTTGGAAAACCATATCCCTTCACCCGACCATGAGATCGATGCCATATTTTCGGACTATTTCTCAACCAACGAGGACCGCAATATTTTGGAAAAAATTAATAATGAAATATACTTATACGGAAATGTACGCGTTGGATTCAACTCCACATTTGACATCCTTCAATGGTGGGCCACTTCAAAGGATCAGTTCCCACTGCTTTTTAAAACAAGCTGCAAAATCTTTGCGGCTTCTGCAAGCAGAGCAGCGTCGGAAAGAGCGTTTTCCATTGCAAAAAATTTAATTTCGGACAAACGTTGCAAAATTGGTACTAATGAAGACATGGTTAATCAAATTATGTTCTTAAACTACAATATTGACACAATAAACATAAATGTAGACACCGACACAGACAATAAAGATGAATGAAAAATAAATTAATCAATTAACCAATTTCAAGCACCATGGCCAATACTAATTTTTAAATTGTCATATCTTTATCAATTATAATCGAAAAATGGAACACCGAATTTATCAGCTTATATGTGAAAACGTGGTTGTCCCATATGGTCTATTGTTTCTGATAAAAGTGTGGCTTAGAGGTAAAGAAAGTTAAAGAATTCAGGATTGTAGAATAAAAATCAATTTATAACTTTTTGAATCCAAATTATCAAAAAAAAATTTTAATATCATTCAGTGTACACTTGGAATACTGTACAGCAATAATACTGTACTCACAAAAAGGTGTACAGTAAAATTGTGAGTGAGAACACCATTCACACAAATATAAAAATCATAGCATTCTACAACATTCACAAAAAAGGTGTACAACAAAACATGTACACCTTTTTGGGGAAAATGATTCAAAAGGCCTTATGAATGTATTCATGCAGGAGTCTATTATATACTACTTGGATAACACGGAAGTTTAGTGTAAAGAATAGTGGAATTGGTTGTATTCTGGAGTAGGTCAGAATGCTTTGATTATGGTAGCAGTTTGCATAGTTGGGTCGGTTGACTCTGCAGAAAGTGCTGACTGCTTGGCGGGTCAGTGAGACATCGAGTCAACCGTTGACATTGACTATGTAGAATATGCTGATCAGCAAATAGTATCTGCCGTGGGTGTAACTGGACGCCTGATACTGTTACCAATAATACTACTGCTAGAGTTGTTGGTTGTTGATCATGTTGAGCAGCATAGAGTACGAACGTTGGTCATGTTGAGCAACATTGATAACGAACATTCTCCCCCCCATTGAGGGGTACCCTCAATTAAAGCGTGATGTCGGTCACCTCTTGACCGATTTGTATAGTCCGCAGCTACCATCTCCATGAAAGTGTCGGATCCTTCCTTCTGCTGTCGAGATTCAAGCTTCTGATTAACGTCCTTCCTGTTTTCTTGTTGCTGATGAACGATCGCCCTTGCGACAAATATTATAGCATTGCCGTGGGGACTGAAGTTGTGACCTTGTAGAAATTGATCATTTGGACTGTCTAAAGTATGTGGAATTCCTGCAACAAACCTTAAATGTTTCTTAGGTAACTTTAGAAATATCATCAACAGTTCAGAATTTGTGTAGTTTCGAAGTTGATGAGAAGTTGAGCTGATTTTTCTAAGTAGTTCACTTGCTGGCTGGTTTTCCGCTAGCTGCAAGGACTTATTCGGTCTAATCGTTGGTCCTTGGTCGGTTGAGTCAGTTTCGATGGTTTTTACTTGGATACAAGTACCTTCAGGCTCAATTATGTCATGATTCACCAATACTAAGTTCGTTAAATGCATCCTTTCTTCATTATGAGAGTTCCTATTTATCCGTTCGCTATCTTTTGTTATTTCGACAGATTGGTTATTTGTACACAGCTCTTCGAGTTGGAGGTCATCCATCGGATTGTCATCCTTTTGTTCCTCAAAAACCGGATGAGGTCCTGCATGATCGTCTCCTCCTTCTTCTAAGCCCGGCTTTATTTTTGCATCACACGAGGTTTCTGTTTCGAGAAGACCTGTGATTACATTGCACAGGCTTGAGCTTCCGGTGGTTTTACAGTCGGAAATGGTTGAATCGGTTGCGAACATTGGCTGTCTTCTACTTGGTTGTTCATCCAATATTTCTAGCATGCAAGATCTTCGTTCCAAGAAATTTAGAACGCTTGGTAGAGTGGGCACTTCTGTGGGTGCGTCGGCAGCGTCCTCTAACGCTGCTAGTGTCTTGTGATCAAGCCTTTCTCGTATTAGGAATCCTAAAATTGGATCCCATGTCTGTGTGTCGATTTTTAGACTTTTAAGTGTGCTTAGAGATCTTTCGACAGTATCATGCAGCGCTCGGATTTGAGTAGCCGACCCATTGATAGGCTCGTGGTCAAAAATCTTTTCGAGTGCAGTGAAGATTAATATTTGCCCATTTTGGTATCTGGTCTTTAATCGTCGCCAGGTGTCTTCATATTCTCCTTGGGAGAATGCTGTATCTATTAATATATTTCTTGCTTCCCCCTTAAGTGCACCTTGAAGCAGATGTAGCTTTTGTGCAGGAGGGTACGGTTGATTGTGAACTAGTTCCATGAAGAGGTCGTGGAATTGTGGCCATTGTAGGTATTCCCCAGCAAACTCAGGTAGGTTGACTGGTGGTTGGGATAACGTTAGCTTTAGTGGCGAGTCATCTTTGCGTAACAGCGTCGTCTCGTATTCTTTATAAAGTGACTGTACTTGACACAATTCTGTAGCGGCGATGTCTGAAGCGCCTGGTATTACTTCTATCACATCATGAGCCTGTCTCACCAATGCCCATTGCGCATCGATGTGGATGATTCCATTTCGGTACATCGTAATTGCAACAGCCGGATTGCCTTGCTTATTGATGCGTCCATCTCCTTTGGTGCTGGTGGTAGTGGTTTTGCGTCTTCTCGTGGTCGTGCCATTTCTCTAATCTCGGGGTCCAGATCACGAAACTGTTGCCACAGATCCTGTTAGACCTGGTTGCGGTGTTCCTTCTGGAGGACCTTGACGCGGTATGCCTTGTCGGGAGGACTTTTAGTGTTGTGCCTGAACTGGAGGACTTTTAGTAATGTGCCTGAACTGGAGGACTTTAGTGTTGTGCCTGAACTGGAGGACCTTTTGTAATGTGCCTAATCTGGAGGACTTTGGTGTTGTGCCTGAACTGGAGGACTTTTATTGAGGTGCCTGAACTGGAGGACCTTTAGTAATGTGCCTAATCTGGAGGACTTTTAGTGAGGTGCCTGAACTGGAGGACCTTTAGTAATGTGCCTAATCTGGAGGACTTTTAGTGAGGTGCCTGAACTGGAGGACTTTAGTTTAGCGTGGTTCAAAAGAATCAGTTAATGATTCCTTGTAAGTGTGATCCTTGGTTATGCAAGGATCACGTCGGGGTCACCAATGTTTGATCCCAAGCGTGGCTTGTGGATCAATATAAGTTTGTATACGAGTCCTCTTCCCGGAGGGCAGAAAGGAAGACCGCGGAGTTATAAGATGTGTTGATAACTGATTTATTGTGAATTTGGTACTAGCTTATATACTACTTGGATAACACGGAAGTTTAGTGTAAAGAATAGTGGAATTGGTTGTATTCTGGAGTAGGTCAGAATGCTTTGATTATGGTAGCAGTTTGCATAGTTGGGTCGGTTGACTCTGCAGAAAGTGCTGACTGCTTGGCGGGTCAGTGAGACATCGAGTCAACCGTTGACATCGACTATGTAGAATATGCTGATCAGCAAATATTATCTGCCGTGGGGGTAACTGTACGCCTGATACTGTTACCAATAATACCACTGCTAAAGTTGTTGGTCGTTGATTATGTTGAGCAACATAGAGTACGAACGTTGGTCATGTTGAGAAACATTGATAACGAACAAAAGGTATTTTGAAATACTTAAACCCCTTTTTAACTTAATTCGTTTCAATACAATAGTTTAAAAATTATGGTTGAACAATTTAAATTTAAATGTATATAGCTCCTATGAGAGCAAAAGTAAACAAACAAAAACTTCTGATTTCAAATTAAAACACCTCTTAACGAGGTAAAAAAAACTAGTGACGATCGCACCTTCAACATACAAAAGTTCTGATATCAACATTTGTGACGAAAAATTATTACACTCGTCATTCAATATTTGTTTTTATTTGATACTGTATAGCCCTTAAAGTAATGTGTAAGTTAGAAAGGAAGTTCTACGGATTGAGAATTTTTTTTCGCAATTCCATAATTTTTCAGTACTAAATTTGAGAAAGAGCATAACTCATTTTTAAAATACTATACAAGTAATTTTCAAAAATGAGTACAGTTTGTACTCACACAGTACAGTTTTTATTCATTTTGTGGAAAAATTTACTAAATAAATAGAAAATGTACTTAATTTGAGTAAAAAAGTTTTGACAAATTTGTACTGATAGTTAGTATTTTGTACTCAGAATGAGTAATTTTGTTCATTCTTAATTTTCAAGAACAAAAATACTCATTTTGAATACAAATTACTTAAATAATTCTCTCAGTGTATAAGAAAATTATCCTACATTATATGTTATAGTTGCCCAATCAGACTCGTAGAATTGACAATTTTTTGCTGTTGGGGACTGTTTGACAATTTTTTACCATTTTTTTTTTGTGTGTAATCAAAGCAAAATCTTTCTTCCACTTTTACAAAACCTTTTAAAATAAAGGCGCTAGACAGACCCCAGCGTTTTAAGCGATTGTGGACGCTAGATTGAGGGCAGACGGATTTGATCGACTCAGCTAGTGATCCTGATCAAGAATATAAATACGTTATGCGGTAGGAAACGAATATTTCTACCAGCTACATTTTTTTCCCGAAAAAACAAAGATGGAAAAGATTTCTGAGAATTCCCCGAATATAAACTTTTACTCAACGAGTAACGTGTATAAAAGCTTATAATGGTTACGGTCTCTGCAAATAAGAGCCGTGTCTGTAGTCTTTAGGAGTAAAGTAGCTCGGATAAGAAAAGCTTACTTGTTTTTACATTCCGCTGTGGCAAAATTGATTCATCGTGGAATACGTTTACCGAGGAGCTTTGAGCCAGCAACGCAGGATCAGGTGTCGTCGGACTGTTGTTGTTCATTACAGTGGATTTAGCCGGTAGTTTAAGGTGACAGTGTATTCGACTCTGTGAACAATATACAAAACTTTTAGCTACAGTTTTGACATGTTATGCTCAATTTACAATGCTTAAATGCGTATTGTTCTAGATTTTGATTTCTTCTTTTAGCTAAGTGTTTTGTGACACAAAGCACGACTTTTATTTAGGTATCCCTAAAAGGGAATGATGATGATGAATTTGTAGATGACAACTGATGATGCCTTTTCGTTTCACACTTCATATGACTCTTGCCCGTGCTTACACTACTTTAAGCAGGACTTCCACAGAGAAATTTGTTCGACAAACATTTTTGATTTTCTTAAATTAAAAATGTCGCGAATACTCGAGCTGACAGACTTCAGCCGTCAAACCCGGACAAAATATCTGTTGGCCTGTGTTATTAACACCCATATAGTCATGGAAAGTTATAAGCAGCCACAAAATTAGAAAAAACAACAAAGGAAGCTAGCTTCGGCCAGCCGAAGCTTATATACCCTTGCAGATCATTTCTATTAATAAACAAATCGCAAAAATGTTCAATTTTCTATTATTTCTCATTAATTTTCTGATCGTTCTTATGGATGCTATATGATATAGTAGTTCAATTTTGATAAAATTAAAACCGAAATTCGGTAATATTTAAAAAGAGTCATATCCTAGAGTAGGAGAGAATACAATAAAACCAAAGAAGCTAGAATTTATTTCCTATTACTTTTCCATTAATTTTCCGATCGTTCCTATGGCAGCTATATGATATAGTAGTCCGATTTTTTAAATATTTAATTCGAAATTCAGAAATATTTAAAAAATAACATCCCCAAAAGTAGAAGGTAATATTTCAAAAAACACCGAATCTAGAATTTTTTTAACGTTTTCTTTTCCGATCCTTCCTATGGGAGCTATAAGATATAGTTGTCCGATCCTGTCGGTTCCGACATATATACTACCTGCAATAGAAGAAGACTTTTGGGAAAGTTTCATCCCGATAGCTTAAAAACTGAGAGACTAGTTTGCTTAGAAACGGACAGACAGACGGACGGACAGACGGACATGGCTAGATCGACTCGTCTAGTGATGCTGATCAAGAATATATATACTTTATGGGGTCGGAAACGTATCCTTCACTGCGTTACAAACTTCTGACTGAAATATAAAGATATTTTAAAATGTCCTTTTAAAATTATATTTTATAACAAACATTTTGTGAAAGATTTTTAGCCAAACAACTATTAAAACGTATTATTTAAAATACCTACGTAAATACGAAGTTTTTACAAATTTAAGAATAGTTCTACAAGGCATTAATTACACTATGCAGCATCAAAAATTTACCTCGATGGATGCTATATTTTTGGATTTGTTATGAATTCCGAAGTTAAACTGCGTTTTCCAAAATGTTCCCCGACGCAAGGATTCTTAGGAAAAGGACCTCAAAGATCGAAAAATGCTTAAATTGGTCCACTTTCCGGAGCTCTCAGAGGCAAACGGATTCATGGTTTGATTCGATGTTAAAGATACACTCTTTATCTTTTGAACCCCATACTTAGAATAATTTTAGGATTTTTATTAAGGGAGAAACCAAATTTAGAAAACATAGTCAAAAAACATAAAAGATTACAGCTGCGGTCAAAATAGTAGTAGTATTGCCGCCCTGTGTTTTTAAAGGTTTGTTGTTTTAATTTTTTTTATCCTGGTAATATTGTATTTATTATATTTGTACTATTAGTCTTATTGGATAAGAAAAGTGACAACAACAAACCTTTAAAAACACAGGGCGGCAATACTAGAATAGAATAGCAATAATTAGAATTCGAAATTCCAACGGAGCTGACTCCTACAGCGTTTGGCATGAACCATACTTTTTTAACTTTCAAAAGTTGTGGGGTAATGTGACGAACGATTTGTTTTTTAATGTAACTTTCCCATAAATCAATATTTTTTAAAAGTGTAAGAGCAGAAAGTTGCTCACAAACCATATTTCTGTAAAAGTACGATTCAAAATTCCATCAGGGTTAAATCCTACAGCGTTTTGCGTGAACCATCCTTTCCAACTGACGACACAACTAAAATCAATACAAAACAAGAGGGAACGTTATAGTCGGATGCCCCGACTATCAGATACCCGTTACTCAGGTAAAGGGAGTGCGAGGGAGATGGAGATAGAGATAGAAAACGTAGATCACGCATAACTTTTTAACGAATGGTCCGATTTGAAAAATTTCTTCTACATTTCGATAGGTATTGATAAACACAATAAAACTGCATTTTTACTTTTCCAAAATATTAAAATTTTTAAAATCGTATATAAGTGATTGTGGGCGTTAGAGGGGGCGTGGCACCATTTTGAAACAAACTTGCGCTGCGTAGGAACTCCTAAAATCTGCATGCAAAATGCCAATCTTCTAGCTTTTATAGTTTCTGAGATCTCAGCGTTCATACAGACAGACAGACGGACAGACGGACAGACAGACGGATTCGTCACGATACCCCCACACGTTATATTTGGAGCAAAAACGGTGTCACTCTCAAACGGCGAAAACAAAAAAAAACGCCAAGTACCAAAAACTGTTGATTAATTTATTTATTAAGATCAAAAAACACATTTTTCATCTTTGTCGAGCTTCTGCGCTCCATTACTTATCCAATCATATTGACCTGTATGGCAAATTTAAGCTCTGATCTATTGACTTTAAAATGAAACGAAAACTGGCCCATTTCGGTGGCCATGAGCCGGGATATAGGAAGAAATTCGAAACAAGTCAGAAACAAGTCAGAAACTATAAAAAATCTTAACAAAAAAAAGTGCCATCGAAAAATAAATTAGTGGTATTTTCGTGATCTAGGGGTCCAGCACTAACATAATTTGCAATCAATTGCTGTGGAGCACTCCAGAAATATTATTTTGTAAACTAGTGTAGTTAGTGCACCACCTTTTTTAGAAAAAATGACCACACGAACAAATTACGGGACTTCTTAATAATATTACTGTAAAAACATTGTCGACTCGATAAGAGAAGACGACTACATTTATTTGGTATTTTTATCCTGACGTCATATGTGAGATTCGACAAGTTCGTCACATTACCCTACTCGTCACATTTCCCTACACTCAAAAAAAAATCGACTAAAATCGCCCTTGGTTTTAGAAAATCGCATACGAATTTGCTTTACTGGCGATTTTGTATATATTAAAGAATGTAGGTTTTTAAAATCAAAGGTTTTTTTTTCTAAAAATAAAAAAAAAAAAGACTGCAATTTAGAACTTTTTTGCTAGAAAGTAAAAAATTATTTCTTAGAATTTAGAAATAAGGGTTTTCTAAAAAATAGAAATACGGTTTTTTTTAAATATAGACAAATATTTTTTAAATAACAAAAAAAATTTCTCAAATTTAGAAAATACAAAAATCTATTTTCGGGCTTCGGAATTATACCCGGTTGTTTCTGTGCCGCCACCGCCTTTGTGTTGTTTTTTTTTTCGTTCTTGTTTGTCACCTTACTTGAATTTCCTTTAATTGAGCACTTGGGTGGTTTCAAATTGGAACTGTAATAATATCTGAAATGAGTGTAAAAATTACAAATTATAAATATAAAAACCCAATAACTAACTTACTATTTTGAGAAAAACACATCTTGGTCGCCGCACCCGAGAATCGAACCGCTAACCGCTCGCCTCATAATATATGTATTTATTATGGTTCAATAGTAACAGTAATTGAATGTTTTAAATTTGAAAAACTTAAACATCATTTTTATCAAAATATAAATATTCATGAGCTAAAAAAAAAATGCAATACATTTTTTTTATTAATAGGTAAATATTAGTGTTAAAAAAAAACAAAAAGACACCATGAGTTTTTCGTCTCGACGTGAGATTGAACTCACACTTGCAGCCGCAAGCTTGAATAACGTATGCATGCACGCACGCGTAAGACCCCTAGGCTACCAATCCCGGAAATTTTCTTCGATTAATAGCGATTTTTTCTTGAGCTAAAAAAATTTTTTCTAAAAAGTGTATAAGAAGGAAAATTGATCAAATACGGTTAAATTATTTATTTTTTTCTTTTTCTTAAAATCACACATTTTTTTCTAAATGTTGGAAAAATCTTTAAATTTTTTTTGTTTTTTGAAAAACAATATTTCTATTATGTGGAAATACTTATAATTTTAATGGCAATTTTTTTTTATTTTTAGAAAAGTTTAGTCTTTTTATACTCTGGCAGAGGGTATTATGATTTCAGTCAGAAGTTTGCAACGCAGTGAAGGAGACGTTTCCGACCCCATAAAGTATATATATTCTTGATCAGCATCACTAGACGAGTCGATCTAGCCATGTCCGTCTGTTTCTACGCAAACTAGTCTCTCAGTTTTTGAGCTGTCGGAATGAAACTTTCCAGAAAGTCTTCTTTCTATTGCAGGTAGTATATATGTCGAAACCGACCGGATCGGACAACTATATCTTATAGCTCCCATAGGAAAGATCGAAAAAAAAAAGTTTAAACAAATTCTAGCTTCGGTGTTTTTTTAAATATTACCTTCTACTCTTGGGAATATACTTTTTTATATATTTATAATATTTAAACAAGAGAGAACGCTATAGTCGAGTGCCTCGACTATTAGATACCCGTTACTCAGCTAAACAACTTAATAGAAATATGCCTTCTTATATGTTTTTCGCCGCTCGATTTTTACATAGGGATCTCTTTCGAGAAGAGGCTTTCTAGAACTTTCAATTCTGCCTAGCACATCTTCCGTCTCTCTCTAGCGCAGGTGAATGCACTTGTGAGCAAAAAGAGACAAAATGCGCGCCCCATTTCAAATAATTTAAAATTTGCATTAACATAAAGTGAATTACAATGACCACAGAAAAAAGGCAGATTTTTTCCAATGCCATTTTCTAGATGGGGCTAGTGTATATTGTATTGCGCCATCTACCGCCAGATATTGGTACTACTGGTCATGAAAGGCGGAAATGTAGGCGCTGGCCAGGATTAAGCGTTTATTGGGTTTGTGGGCGTTAGAGTGGGCGTGGCAATTTTTTACTTGGCCAATCGATAGGTATTGACGAAGCGAATACATATCAGTTACTATTTTCATAATAGCTTCAAAACTGTGGGCGTTAGAGGGGGCTTGTGGGCGTGGCACCTTTTTGAAACAAACTTGCGCTGCGTAGGAGCTCCTTTTATAGTTTCCGAGATTTCAGCGACAGATTTCAGACAGACAGACAGACAGACAGACAGACAGACAGACAGACAGACAGACAGACAGACAGACAGACAGACAGACAGACAGACAGACAGACAGACAGACAGACAGACAGACAGACAGACAGACAGACAGACAGACAGACAGACAGACAGACAGACAGACAGACAGACAGACAGACAGACAGACAGACAGACAGACAGACAGACAGACAGACAGACAGACAGACAGACAGACAGACAGACAGACAGACAGACAGACAGACAGACAGACAGACAGACAGACAGACAGACAGACAGACAGACAGACAGACAGACAGACAGACAGACAGACAGACAGACAGACAGACAGACAGACAGACAGACAGACAGACAGACAGACAGACAGACAGACAGACAGACAGACAGACAGACAGACAGACAGACAGACAGACAGACAGACAGACAGACAGACAGACAGACAGACAGACAGACAGACAGACAGACAGACAGACAGACAGACAGACAGACAGACAGACAGACAGACAGACAGACAGACAGACAGACAGACAGACAGACAGACAGACAGACAGACAGACAGACAGACAGACAGACAGACAGACAGACAGACAGACAGACAGACAGACAGACAGACAGACAGACAGACAGACAGACAGACAGACAGACAGACAGACAGACAGACAGACAGACAGACAGACAGACAGACAGACAGACAGACAGACAGACAGACAGACAGACAGACAGACAGACAGACAGACAGACAGACAGACAGACAGACAGACAGACAGACAGACAGACAGACAGACAGACAGACAGACAGACAGACAGACAGACAGACAGACAGACAGACAGACAGACAGACAGACAGACAGACAGACAGACAGACAGACAGACAGACAGACAGACAGACAGACAGACAGACAGACAGACAGACAGACAGACAGACAGACAGACAGACAGACAGACAGACAGACAGACAGACAGACAGACAGACAGACAGACAGACAGACAGACAGACAGACAGACAGACAGACAGACAGACAGACAGACAGACAGACAGACAGACAGACAGACAGACAGACAGACAGACAGACAGACAGACAGACAGACAGACAGACAGACAGACAGACAGACAGACAGACAGACAGACAGACAGACAGACAGACAGACAGACAGACAGACAGACAGACAGACAGACAGACAGACAGACAGACAGACAGACAGACAGACAGACAGACAGACAGACAGACAGACAGACAGACAGACAGACAGACAGACAGACAGACAGACAGACAGACAGACAGACAGACAGACAGACAGACAGACAGACAGACAGACAGACAGACAGACAGACAGACAGACAGACAGACAGACAGACAGACAGACAGACAGACAGACAGACAGACAGACAGACAGACAGACAGACAGACAGACAGACAGACAGACAGACAGACAGACAGACAGACAGACAGACAGACAGACAGACAGACAGACAGACAGACAGACAGACAGACAGACAGACAGACAGACAGACAGACAGACAGACAGACAGACAGACAGACAGACAGACAGACAGACAGACAGACAGACAGACAGACAGACAGACAGACAGACAGACAGACAGACAGACAGACAGACAGACAGACAGACAGACAGACAGACAGACAGACAGACAGACAGACAGACAGACAGACAGACAGACAGACAGACAGACAGACAGACAGACAGACAGACAGACAGACAGACAGACAGACAGACAGACAGACAGACAGACAGACAGACAGACAGACAGACAGACAGACAGACAGACAGACAGACAGACAGACAGACAGACAGATTTTAAGTTATCTGCATAGACCATAGATAAGTATGTCGTAAGAATTTCATGTTAGATACGTAAGCGAAGACTTAGAAAAATAAAATTAGTTTTAATACTAAGTTACTGATCTGCAAGCACCAATCTTTATTTAAACTTATATACAGAAATATCTGACCTCATCTGTGTACTTGTGTATGAAATCAGCAAGTAAATATTTCAAATAAAATGGGCCAAAACACGGAATAAATAAAAATCAAATACTTTTTTCCCAATCTCGTTAAGAGATTCAAAAGCTTTTGTCGAGTAAAGCTTCTTCATTCGATGTTTGAACCAACATTTACAAAACTTATCTAAGAGCTTTTAAACGAGTTATTTGCAAATAATAATTTAAAAAACTGTGTTATGGCTATCACAACGAGCAAGAATCATGTGCTCATGTAGATTTGGTATGGATTTGTACAAAAACGAACTAAAAAACACGAATGAAATAATGTTAAAGATAATAAATTTAATAATTAAATGAATTTTACAAATTTGATTATTTTTTTTAAGCTATCAGCAATCATTTTTTGTGGAACAGATGCGGCAATTTATTATGGTTTATCTGTGGTCCAATGTTGGTGCCATAAGCCTTGGGCGTGTTAATTTTCAACACACGAAATGGCATGGAAGATAAACTAATTGAGTTTGAAATATGAACAGAGAAAGGCTGTAAACGACGTACATTTGAATTGCTTATCTATAGAGTTTGCCAAAATGCGACGGTCTTAGTGTTAAGTCCATTGCGTAACCCCGAATGTTTTATCTTTTGTAAATAAAATTGAGTTAGAGAAGACCAGAAGGAGTTGCTGATGCACACAATTTGCCTATTGTTACGCCCCCACAACTCGCATACAAACGGATAGCTTGCATAATCTGTCGGTCATAATTGTGATACCGCAGTATTTGCGCACTCGTAACACATCGGGGAAGAAACGCACGCTACTTGGCAATTTGAGGGGATTGTGTTTCCTCTTGACCCCTGCGCTACCATTTGTATTTTGATAAATCTATAGTCATATATCAAAACATCAGCATCATTTACATCGCCACGCAAGGCCCTCCGAAAATATGACCCACATCTTCATGCGCGACGATGGACATTGATTAAAGCTTTCCAGACCTGTCTGCGCCACCAGCTGTTTGCCCAAAATTGCCTCAAATCTTTCCAAAAAAGGCGACTTTAACCCATAACATAATCAATAATATTTTCACATTTAAATTATGCAACAAGCTTGGTCTAATTAAATCTGCACTGTCAGCTCCGATAATTGGGTCATCGGAAATCAAAGCAATTTGTAAAATTCATAAACACATAGCTAAAAACCTTAGCAGTTCAATCTGACGCCATTCCTAATGAGACTATCGTGTGATTAATTCAAGTTGCGATTCAAGATTTTGCGTCGCAAAGATTCATCAACTAAGTCTGGCCATCAACAAAAAAAATTTCGACCATCGTGAACACGACGAAAGCCAACGAAATGGATGGGTCAACGAAATCTCACCGTGCACCCAGAAAAATGATGGACAACATTTTAGGTCATGCATAGCCTTTTCTGCACCCATTAATGGCCTAAAATGGGGTAATTTTTGGCCTAGATTTTAGGTAATTGGCTGCCTTAAAAAAAATTTTAGGCTTTATTTGGCCTAAAAATTTGTACTGAAAAATGTTTCATATTATAAAGTAAATACAGAGAAATTTATATCTAACTCGAGGTCAATGTCGGCTTAGTCTTCAAGAAGTCGTCATTATTCCAACACACAAAAACGAGCGAAGAGGCTTCACTGTTCAGCAGTGAAATCGCTGTTTTATTCAACGATCGAAGTGGGTTACCATGCAAGCCGCGCTATAACTGGTTGGGAATTATAGCGTCGCTAGAACGGTATCAGAGTTCCGTGCAAATTTATTTAGGTAAAATGCATTAATTTTAAGGCCCTCGATGACCTGAAATATTAGGCTATACGGGACCTAAATAGTAGGGCAAATATACCAAAAATTTAAATTTTTAGGCTGTACATGACCTAAAAAGGAACTTTTAGTCCATTTAAAATGTTTTAGGCTATGCATGACCTAAAATGTTGTCCATCATTTTTCTGGGTGTGGGTGTGTGTGTCGTTCCACATTTGCACTTATGATATGACTTCCTGCTAGGCGACTCTTTTAACTTGGACTTCATTGTAGCTCCAGAGCGCTTACAGCTCGAAAGCTTTAGGGTTTTGGGTAACTTCCCAAAAAGTTACCGCTATCTCAAGGTTGCTTAAAAACGCAAGCTAGTTTGTAGAAATCCATCTCTCATTGGTCGGTCTTCGTTCAAATTTTCATGCGGTTTGAGCCGCATTGTGGTTTCAGTTTCATTTAAACTTTTCGTCTCATCAGCTCAACTTTTTCGTAAGCGACATTTTCGATTCAGCGGCATATAAGTCTGGGCGTCTAGTGATTAGCATTTAGTTGAATTTTGATTGCCAAGGGACTGGTGTCTTCAACTCATTCGGAAATGCATTTCTTCATTGTAAGCTCCCGAGTGTCAGCCACACTGCCCAAGCATACCAGCGAAATTACGTCCCTTTTCAGGTGTCGTGCCTCCTAGGCCTTGCAACGGCAATGCCCCAAGGATACAACTACCAGGCCCAGCAGTCGCCCGCGCAAATTGGACAACTGCAGCTGCCTTCCATTCCACAGTTTGCCAGCTTTGCGGAGCAGTCGCTTCTGCAACAAGCGCTTCAGGCTCCAAATGTGCAGCAGGTCTTGTCAGGAGGAGAGGGCACCACGTCTTACTCAGCGTCAATCCAGCAAAACCAGGCTTCTGTTTACCAACAGCAGCCGACGCAGCTTGTCGGAAATGTGGCAAACAATGCGCTGCCCCAGTCATATCAGCCGCAGCCCCAGCCGCAGCAGCAGCACCTCGTTTCTAAGGACATCTATGTACATGTGCCACCAGCAGAAGAGCCGGAGGACCGGTATCCTCAGCCTGTCCTTCCGCCGGCACCCCCGCGCAAGCATTACCGCATCGTGTTCATCAAGGCACCCACACCCAGTGTCACCAAGGCGGCTCTGCGCATTAAGCAGGCTCCTGTGGAGGAGAAGACCATTATCTACGTGCTGACCAAGAAACCAGACCCGCTGGACCTCCAGACGGCCATAGAGGAAAGCGCGCCCAAGCAGCCCAGCAAGCCTGAGGTCTTCTTCATAAGGTACAAGACCCAGGAGGAAGCTGCGCATGCGCAACGCACCATTCAAGGTAAGCAACACCCACGTAGATCAAATGGTAGCACACACACATGAATACCTCATCAGTATGCAGAGTCTTTTATTGCTGGTATTTTTGTGCGCTTTGTAGAGGTCTTTTGACCACGTAATTTACCATAGCATATTTTGTATGTAGCATTTCGCTGACAGAGCCGGATTTAGCGAAGATATTGTTCGGTTCCATTTACTTTTTGAGGGTTATTCCGACAAAATCTGCCGCATCACTAACGGCTAACGGTTCGGTCTTCTTTCAGCTCAATATGACCAACTTGGAGGCACCTCACAGGTTTCCGACGAGGGCGTCGCACCTGTTACGTCCGTGATTGGCGTTCTGGACAATCAGGGCACCAGTGGAGTATCTTCCGGAAAGTTCACGGGTGCCTTGGTGAACAACTACTTGCCCACCAATCTGCGTACTTAGACGGAAACACCAAGAAAAGAACTGCCCTATTTTTAAGAACTTAACACTTGTACATACTTGTATTTAGATAAATAAAATTGATCATTGGCAGCCTTCCGATGATAATATAAAACTGGAGCCATTTTCAAATAAAAGAGAGTAGAAATACAAAAACGTGTTTTGATACACAATTTGCTAAATTTATATTTCTTTGGCCCATATTACCACAACCATTAGTCCAATGATCAATGACAACCAAGAGCAGCGGGGAAACCGGTCGCATAAATTATCACATGGTTTGACTTACATAACAACGATTAGGTAAGATGAAAACTTGAATATTGGGGCAGCTGCTAACTAATAATAGCTAACTAAAATAAGTGAGTGAAATCTCTTACTTTTACCCAAGCAGTGATTCTTTATGCTAAGTAAACTAACATCGAAATCAAACTAAGCTCTAAATCAAACGCAACTAACATAACTGTTATTTTCTGATTTTTTTATTTAAAAGTCTGAAATAACAGTTACTTCATGACCAATTTTAAAATAGTTTCAGACTTGTAGGTCATTGCGGATATGAATAGGCCGTATTAAATTGGTTTTATGATTTATTTCTCAAGTTTTTTGTGTTATACCATGCGTGTGATTTTTTCGATTACAAATAATAAAATAACTAATATTTTCAGTCCTTGAACATAAGCCATCCCTGCAGGAAACGGAATCAGTTTTGGACCAGTAAAATTGGTTGGTACAGGAAGATTAACTAGTTCATGTTATGTCCATTACATTGTAACGAAGTGGACCATTTTTCATATGCTTTGCATCGGAAATAACTAGTTAATTTGTTACCAGTTTTGCACTAGTTGCTGTTAACCAATGGACTGTTACAGCTGCTAAACCACACTAAAAAATTGTTTTTCCTTCTAAACCATCAAGTTATTGGATTTCACTAGTACTTAACGATGCTTAGCTTGACGCTCTCTTAATTAGTAGCCAATTAATAGGTGCGGTCCCTAAGGAATTCTGATAATTATTATGTAATCAAATACGGTAAATGATAATTAAATGGAATTAAAACAAAGATGCAAATCTTTATACGTAGGTTACAGTTTCGATTGAAATTTTTCTTTATTTGCCTTGACTTTTGCATTTAAAATAAATTAAAATGAGCTACAATAGGGTGGATAAAGGTAGAAATGGAAGCGATAGTATGTGGCCTACGTACGACTTATTTAAAAGTCTTGGCTGGCACGTACTTCCTGGACGGAACCGATGGTGTAAACGAAGCAGTGGACTGTTGCACAAAGGAGCTCTGCTGCTGGATGCCCTGGGTCAAAACTGGCAACTGCAAAATTGCTTGGGCCTGGGGCTGGATGGCGGTTGGCACCTGAGACTGCTGGGGCACAAAGCCACCCAGGTTAAGGGAACCACTCGAAACGCTGGTGATGGGGGCCACGCCCTCGTCCGAGATATGTGTGGCACCCCCCAAGGCGTCGTACTGGGCCTGAATCTCCTGCTGGGCGCGCTGGGCCTCCTCCTGGGTCTTGTACTTGATGAAGTATACCTCGGGCTTGTGCACCTTGGCTTCGGACTGAGTGACCTGAAGCTGCTGCTGGATCTCGGTGAGATCGGGCTTCTTGGAGAGCACGTAAATGACGGTCTTCTCCTCGTTGCTGGACTGGGCCCGCTTCAGTGCAGCGGCGGTATACTTCAGGTTCTGGGACGGCGCCTTGATGAACACGATGCGGTAGTTCTTGCGGATCGGCACATTTTCCAGCTGTGGCTCGTCCTGACGAAGCTCCTCAGTTTCCTCCGGTGCGGAGTGGATATAAATGTCCTTCGTGACGATCGCCGGCCTCTGGACATACTGGGTCTGAAGGATTTGCTGAGGCTGCTGATTGTAGACGAGTTGCTGAGGCTGCTGAAGCTGCTGAGGCTGCTGAAGCTGCTGAGGCTGCTGCTGCTGCACAGTGCCGATCAGGTTTTGCTGTGGCAGAGCACTAATCACAGGCTGCTGGGGAAGGGCGATCGGTAAGGGAGCAGGAGCAGAAGCATGAGCGATGGTCTGCACAGCTTGAACGGCTGGCTGCTGTGCCTGGACACCGATCTGTGGCAAGGCTGGCAGGGCGGCACCTGCGTAAATTCCACTTGCCGAAACGGGGGTCTGCGGGCGAAGGTTGCCGATGGGAAGGGCGGGCACCTGAGGCTGGTACTTGTATCCCTGCGGAACGGCTGCTGAGAGGGCCACTAGGCACTGTAAGGACAATATCATTATAAGCATTATAACGGCGTGCGAGTAATTTTAAGATAACCAATTCTTACCATTAGGACGATGAACTGCTTCATTTTTACTTTGAACTGTCTGAGTTGCAAAGGTTGACTGATGCACAGCCTTCCCAATATCTATGTTTTTATATCTGCCCAACTGGATTTCGTATTTCCGAAAGAAAGAAAATATTTTTAGGCGCTACCATAAAACGGTTGAATCTATTATTGACTTGACAACTTTGAATACTACGTTAGGCGGTTGCCAAATCACGGAACCATATGCGAAGATGCATTGGTTTCAATGGTCCGGGATCTTATCTAACTCTGAAACCAACGTAGAAACCATAATATTTAAATAATCGTCTTATATTCCCTTTTGTCAACGCTGAACACTGCATTTAATGAAATGCAAAATATTAATAGGTAAAGCGGCGGTTCGATGGATAAAACATCGCTAACAGAAAGAAAGTCATTTTTATGCATAAAAATCAAAACAGACCCGTCCGAAGTTGTGGGTAACGATCTGAATTTATTATCATCTAGGGGTGATTGAACAGGTTCATAATTTGGTAGGTTGCAGTTACATAAATTAATTTGCTTAGGGCCGGTTTCTCGAGTGCCGGCTAACATTTCTCGAACAGATAAGGTCCCTGCTAAGGCATTTTCGCTTTCTCGAGCAACAATGTGAGAGCTAACTTTGACAGGGACTCAGAGTCCCTGTTAAGCGTTTTCGACTCGATAGAATGACAGCTGATTTGCCAAAGCCAACTAAGAAGAAGAAACGAAATCACAGCTGACTTTTCCTTTGAATTACACCCAAACAGCTGATGAAATAATCGAAGCACGCCATTTTTTGCGCTTCACAGCCCAATTCTGTGCGTTAACAGCACTCTGTAATTGTTTCTCGTTCAGATAAATTTAAGCAGTCGAGAAAGCCGATTTGCTTTTACGAACAGTTTATCTGGTCTTTAAGTTTTTCGAACAGATAGCTATCAGGGACTTTGACAGGGACTCGAGAAACCGGCCCTTAGTATACATGTTAAAGCCTAACTAGCTAAACCTAGGAGTAAGCGAGAGGAAAATAGCTAACTTAAGCCTTTAGGACCGGTTTCTCGAGTGTTTTTCGAACAGATAAAGTCCCTGCAAAGACATTTTGGGTTTCTCCGGCGTCGATCCTAGTGCTTACTTTGACAGGGACTCGGGCTCCCTGCTAAGCGTTTTCAGTTCGATAAAACGACAGCTGATTTTCCAAAGCCAACTAAGGGCCGGTTTCTCGAGTCACTGTCAAAAACTTAAAAACGAAAAACTTAAAGATCAGATAAACTGTTCGTGAAAGCAAATCGGCTTTCTTGACTCCTTTAATTTATCTGAACGAGAAACAATTACAGAGTGCTGTTAGCGTACAGTATTGTGCTGTAAAGAGGAAAAAATGGCGTGCTTTGATTTTTCTATCAGTTTGTTTAATATAAATCAAAGGCAAAGTCAGCTGTGATTTCGTTTTGTAGTTCTAATTGTTTCTCCGTTCAGATTAATTAAGAAAGCCGACTTGCCTTTACGAACAGTTTATCTGATCTTTAGGTTTTTGGGACAGATAGCTTTCAGGGTCTTTGACAGGGACTCGAGAAACCGGAGACTTTTTTCACCGCGGGTCTCAAAATAACTAATGCGGTTATTTCACTACATTGTTCGGCTCATTCATTAGAGCATTCATTAGAGGCTTAGAAAGGGACCAATATATATTCTATTTTGGAATTGTTTGGATAGGGGCAGGGTCACTTAGAAATTAGACGCTAAGTTTAAACATTATAATTCAAATAACTTCAACTGGTTAAATTATTAGGGTTGAATGCTGTAAAATTAATAGTGTATTGCCACGAAATCAGACATACAGACACAACTGTAATAATTGTCAAACAAGCCCCAACCAGCAAAATTGTAAATTCTACTAAGTAAATAGGTATTCCACAACAACAAAATACACACAATTAGCAAGGACACACACCCAAAGCAAAAACAAAAAACACGTAACTATTTTAATAGTTACGTAACTATCTTTGTTGGTCAGCTTTAGCAAGCACATTTTTTTGTGTAAAATTGTTTTTAAAGGTATCATATCCGGCATAAATTTTTAGAAATTCCATTTTATATAAATTTATAGACGCAGTTATGTCTTTATTTAATAATATGAGCGTTATTATACCCTTGCAGAGGGTATTATGATTTCAGTCAGAAGTTTGCAACGCAGTGAAGGAGACGTTTCCGACCCCATAAAGTATATATATTCTTGATCAGCATCACAAGACGAGTCGATCTAGCCATGTCCGTCTGTCCGTCCGTCTGTCCGTCTCTCAGTTTTTGAGCTATCGGGACAAAACTTTCGCAAAAGTCTTCTTTGTATTGCAGGTAGTATATATGTCGGAGCCGACCGGATCGGACAACTATATCTTATAGCTCCCATAGGAACAATCGGAAAAAAAAAACTTTAAAAAATTCTAGCTTCGGTGTTTTTTGAAATATTACCTTCTACTTTTGGGGATGTTATTTTTTAAATATTTCTGAATTTCGAATTAATTATTTAAAAAATCGGACTACTATATCATATAGCTGCCATAGGAACGATCGGAAAATTAATGAGAAATATTAGAAAATTGAACATTTTTGCGATTTTTTAATTAATAGGAATGATCTGCAAGGGTATATAAGCTTCGGCTGGCCGAAGCTAGCTTCCTTTCTTGTTTTTAGTTGACAACGGAGTAATTACGTCTCTAAAATAATTTTTGTATTGTTCACACAAAAAAATTTGCTTGGTAAAATTGACCAACAAAGATAGTTACGTAACTATAAAAATAGTTACGTGTATTTTGTTTTTGCTTTGGGTTTGTGTCTTTGCTAATTGTATTTTGTGTATTGTGTATTTTGTTGTTGTGAAATGACTATTTACTTAGCAGAATTGACAATTTTGCTGGTTGGGGCCTGTTTAACAATTATTACAGTTGATTTTACCAAGTTTTTTTTTGTGTGTTCTTATTTGTTTATAGCTCCTTATTTTTCTCAAAAGGTTTGACAATTCAACCAAAAAGAACCAGATAAATGGTTATTATTGATCCCATTTCACAGTAGCTCTAATGAATGAGCAAAATTGTACTTTTTAGATTCAATTTTGCTCATTGCTCATCGGTCCAGGTACACACAAAAAAAAAACTTGGTAAAATCAACTGTAATAATTGTCAAACAGGCCCCAACCAGCAATATTGTCAATTTTAAAATACCAAAAGTGCCAAAAGGTTTTTCAAATTTTGCTCATTAATTGCTCATTAGAGCCGACAAATATCTCCTTCCTCGCACCTACGTAAAATGGTATAGGCTGCAAAAAAATGTATCTAATGAATGAGCCGAACAACGTCGAGGAATAACCGCATTAGCAAAAAGTAAACTAATAAATTTTTTACGATGGTCAATATTGGTTCCTCTTGCCCTAAAGAATTGGCGGTGTCATTGTATTATAGGATTCATGTATGTAGATAAAAAGTAGAGAAGGGGGCACTAATAGGAGGAAAGCCATTGGAATGAGACTGGTATCACCGGAACGGCTGTCCTTTTGGCTGTAACTTTGTCAATATTTTGTTTTGTCGCCCTTATAGCAAACCAACCTCCAGAAGTCATAAGGAATAAAGTAAAGACCATGTGTTATCATATTGAACCATCTACTATTTCCACCCCAGAAGGAATATTTGAAGTTTTGCTAAATACCACAAAGATTAACAAAATATTTGGTAAGGAAAACGCGTTGGGCATGAAATCGACCTTCAGAAAATTTCAGCCGATGGCCACGCCCCCTCTTAAACGATTTTAAAAGGTGTCTGGCGCCCACGCCAATGAAAAGCAGTTTCATTGTGTTTATCAATACCTATCGAAATGTAGAAGAAATTTTTCAAATCGAACCATTCGTTAAAAAAAAATGCACAATCAAAGTTTTATATCCCCCTCGCACTCCCTTTAGCACCCGGGGCACCCGACTATAGCGTTCTCTCTTGTTTTATATCGGCTAAGTTATAAATAAGCAGAATGCTAAGAAAAGTGTAGTATCGATAAAGTGTCTTGTGATTTTAAAAACACAGATATATTGTTTATAAATTAATGTATATTCTGCGTTTTAAATGATTTATTTATTCAAATAATTGTATATTAGATCACTATGGACGGCAGTCCATGTAGTGACGAAGCGCACCAGGAGAGTGTGCGAAGGCGACTACTATTATATAGCCGCAAAATTGAAAATCTGCTGTGATAGTCCGATCGTAATGAGTAATACACCAATCGAAAGGTATTGCAATAACTTAAAGGATTGCATACCAAGACTTTAAGAAAATCAATTGGCTTGGGAGAGAGAGCGGTGAAAGTGAAAAAATGAAAATTACGAAATTTGGAGCTGTTGGGGCCGGTGGGGATAAATGCCCCCTCGCAATGTTTTAGTTGTATTCCTTTTGAAAATACCCGTCGAATGAGGGGTCATTTGTCAAAATCCGACGCTCCGTTCAAAAGTTATAGCCAAAATAAGATTTCCTTCTTCTTCCCAAAATGAAAACTTAATTCTGTTTGTCAGTTTGTCAGTTTGTCCAAAACATGTTTCTTAAGTTTTGAAAATTTAATATGACGTTCATCCCATCGATATAAAAAACTTTTGTTCTACCACTTTTGGAAAAACTCGCTAGTTTAGCGGGAAATCAGCTATAAATAGCTAAAATTCGGAAAACCGTAACTTCTATACTACTAAAGCTACAGGCTTGTGCTGCATCTCGTTTGAAAGGCATTTTTAAATGCTATAAACGCCTTCTATATGCAATTTGTGTAAATGTAATACTTAAAAAAATTTGAACAAAAGACAATTTTTTAAAACTTTTTTTTTAGCTTTTTTTTATTTTTCTCAAAAACGGCTCTAACGATTTTCTTGAAAACTTTAAACTGTATAGCCCTTGAGATTCCTTAAATTTTGGTATATAACACATTACTGTAAAAAGTCAAGTTTAAAAGTTATTTTTATACGAAAATAGCCACTTTTGCCAGCTCGAACAATTTAAGCTTCCTGAGTATTGAATTTTGTGTGAGGGTATCCGAACTGTATTTTAGGGTCATGGAATCAGTAAATTTGCACTTAAGAGTTCCATATAGGAATCTTTTGTTCTACGACTTTTGGAAAAAGCCGCTACTTTAGCGGGAAAAAAGCTAAAAATAGCTACATTTCGTTAGTTTGTAAGTTCTACACTTCTAAAGGTACAGACATGTGCTATACCTCGTTTAAAAGGTATTTTGAAATACTTCAACGCCTTTTAAACTGAATTCGTTAAAATACAATAATTAAAAAATTATGATTTATGACCAATTTAAATTTAAATGTTTATACTAGCACCTATGAGAGCAAAAGTAAACAAACAAAAACTTCTGATATCAAATAAAAACACCTCTTAACGAGGTAAAAAACTAGTGACGATCGCACCTTCAACATACAAAAGTTCTGATATCAACATTTGTGACGAAAAATTATTACACTCGTCATTAAATAGACTTTCTAATATTTTTTTATTCGGCACGCTGCAATAGAAAATGCCTGTGAAGGGAAAAAGGCTGGAATAGTTTGCTAGGGCGGGCCGAATGAGAAAATATTAGAAAGTCTATTTAATGACGAGTGTAATAATTTTTCGTCACAAATGTTGATATCAGAACTTTTGTATGTTGAAGGTGCGATCGTCACTAGTTTTTTACCTCGTTAAGAGGTGTTTTTATTTGATAAAACTGAAACTTAAGAAGTTTTATACAAAAACCAGTTGCATTCATTAAATACCAGATAAAAGAGCTCATTTTGGATACCGGTCAGTATTGTCTTACCGTCTTAGCCAAATAAAACGAAAACTGGTTTAGTAAACTACCTTATACACAGTGATCGCTCCAAGCATTAAACTAATGGGATTTGGTTTTGAAACGATTAACAAATAAAAAATATCTTTCAAAATTTACAGAATACAAAACTTATACTTTATTAATTCATTCAAAAATGTCGAAGTTGTTTTTAAATACCTTTAAATGACATTTCAGAAATTAATTCTTAGGAACGGACACTGTTTATAAGTTATACTATACATTAATAGGAAATTATCACAATATCGCACACAGCAAAAAGCGCGACCAAAATCACTATGGACGGCAGTCCATGTAGTGACGAAGCGCACCAGGAGAGTGTGCGAAGGCGACTACTATATATACACGAAGAAATGAAAATCTACTGTGATGGTCCGATCATAATGAATAATACACCTATCGAAAGGTATTGCGAAAACTAACAGGATTGCATACCAAGACTTTAAGAAAATCAATTGGCTTGGGAGAGAGAGCGGTGAAAGTGAAAAAGTGAAAATTTCGAAATTTGGAGCTGTTGGGGCCGGTGGGGATAAAGGCCCCCTCTCAATATTTTAGTTGTATTCCTTTTGAAAATACCCGTCGAATGAGGGGTCATTTGTCAAAATCCGACTCTCCGTTCAAAAGTTATAGCCAAAATAAGATTTTCTTCTTCTTCCCAAAATGAAAATTTAATTCTGTTTGTCAGTTTGTCCACTTGTCCACTTGTCCACTTGTCCACTTGTCCAAAATATGTTTTTTAAGTTCTGAAAATTTGATATGACGTTCATCACATCGATATTAAAAACTTTTGTTCTACCACTTTTGGAAAAACCCGCTAGTTTAGCGGGAAAACAGCTATAAATAGCTAAAATTCGGAAAGCCGTAACTTCTATACTACTCTATATACTATAGCTACAGACTTGTGCTGCATCTCGTTTGAAAGGTATTTTTAAATGCTATAAACGCCTTCTATATGCAATTTGTGTAAATGTAATAGTTAAAAAGATATGAACAAAAGAAAATTTGTTAAAACTTTTTTTTTAGCTTTTTTTTAATTTTCTCAAAAACGGCTCTAACGATTTTCCTTACAACTTCAAACTGTATAGCCCTTGAGATTCCTTAAATTTTGGTATATATCATGTTTATGTAAAAAATCGCGTTTAAAAGTTATTCAGAAACGAAAATAGCCACTTTTGCCAGCTCAGAACAACTAACGCTCCCTGAGTATTGAATTTTGTGGGAGGGTATCCGAACTGTATTTTAGGGTCATGGAATCAGTAAATTTGCACTTAAGAGTTCCATATAGGAATCTTTTGTTCTACGACTTTTGGAAAAAGCCGCTACTTTAGCGGGAAAAAGCTAAAAATAGCTCAATTTCGTTAGTTTGTAAGTTCTACACTACTAAAGGTACAGACATGTGCTATACCTCGATTAAAAGGTATTTTGAAATACTTCAACGCATTTTTAACTTAATTTGTTAAAATACAATAGTTTAAAAATTATGATTGACCAATTTAAATTTAAATGTATATATTAGCTCCTATGAGAGCAAATGTAAACAAACAAAAACTTCTGATATCAAATAAAAACACCTCTTAACGAGGTAAAAAACTAGTGACGACCGCACCTTCAACATACAAAAGTTTTGATATCAACATTTGTGACGAAAAATTATTACACTCGTCATTAAATAGACTTTCTAATATTTTCTCATTCGGCACGCTGCAATAGTAAATGCCTGTAAAGGGAAAAGGAATAGTTTGCTAGGGCGGGCCGAATGAGAAAAGATTAGAAAGTCTATTTAATGACGAGTGTAATAATTTTTCGTCACAAATGTTGATATCAAAACTTTTGTATGTTGAAGGTGCGGTCGTCACTAGTTTTTTACCTCGTTAAGAGGTGTTTTTATTTGATAAATATTAACACTGTGAATAAAAGACTTGCATGTATCGCGATGCAAACGGAAAAATACTTCTAAATACTGTATAGCACATAAAAATAAGAAGGCCGGCCGAAAATCAAAATAGCCCGCGTTTCTCTTAATATAAAGCATTAAATTTATAAATGTTTAATTAAAAAGTTTTATTGAGTTCTCTTTTAACTCTGCCTTTATATAATACATTTATAACATTTTTAATGTAGAGAATATGGATTTGAAATTATCAAATCAGATTACCAGTTAAAAACAATAATAATAATATTTAAAATACGGATATTTAAAAAAAAATTACCTTGTGTTTACTTTAATTGCGCCGTTTTTCTCTATGTGTACGTGTATGGTTGTGAGTTTTGTATAAAATAGACGTCTGTTTCAGGCGCGAGGCTCAGTTTATTTGACGTTTGCGATATAATGAAGACAATCTTTGTAAGTTTGTATTATTTGACGAGCGAATATTTAATCCATCCCCAAACTGTAATTTCAGATATTAATGTTCTTAGTGCTGCTGGCCGTGAGCCTGGCAGAATCTGCTCCCACCGCAGGCAACGATCCTACTGTTTCTATATTGCGCTACACTAATGATCAGGACTTGGAAAATATTCAACGGGATATCATTGCGCAATACGAACGGTTCGGAGGAACCACCCAAGTGCATAAACCGCTGACGGCCAGTATCATTAACCCAGCCAGCCTAAGGATTAATATTTAATGCTCTCCGAAAATAAATCGATCTTTTTAAAAGTTTTTAAGTTCCCACTGATAAGGCAGAGCGCCTTGGGCTACTTGGGATTTACCAAACGACAAAAGCTTTAGTCTGCTCCCGACACTCGGCGCGTTCGCAGAGCGTCCGAGATGGATCGCACTGTACACCTGTATTTGATAATAATTTTCGGGCTCTGGTGCTTGACCCTGACTTACTCCCAGCGGTCTCCATTCCCTCCACCACCGCCAGGCCGAGCTCCACTTCTCGAGCAAACTGCTATTCGCTTTCCTGTGGAACGTGATATACTCTTCCCGGACTTTGATGCTAGGCCAGACCAGGCGGGGGAGAAGATGTGGTTTCGCATAAGCGACTTTCAGTTTGACCGGGAGGAGAACCTGCCCCAGCCCAAGGCCAGGCACCACCCCCCGCCACCAAGGCCAGGCCAGCCCTTTCCACCGCCCCCCGGGGGCTTTAAAAAGAAGAATATCAAGCGACGCCGCATCTGTGAGCAAAGTAAGTTATCTGGGGCTTCGACCTGTGCGTCCGTGAGTCATTGCCTGAGTTTGTCCCCAAGAATACTCCGAGTACGTAGAGCGCATCTTCCCAAATGACACGGCTGTGGCCGCTGATGCCAATGACGCAGAGTTCGATGGGCGAGTACTAGCCAGGCCCGGTGAATACCCCCACATGGTATGGACATCGGAAGTTGATAAAGCACAGCTGTGGGCCTAACGCAAACCCGACGAATCTGTTTTCGCAGGCAGCCGTGGGCTTCGAAGCTGACGCAGATCGAGTCGAGTACAAATGTGGCGGCAGCCTGATAAGCGAGAACTTCGTACTTACCGCCGCCCATTGTACTTCCATATATGAGTGAGCATTCTAATAAGGCCCGTGACCTGTGACTATACCTTTTTTCCCAGGGCGGCCCCCAAATGGGTGCGCATTGGGGACCTCAACCTGGTCGTCGAGGAACGCTCGGTAGAAGCTCAACTGATTCGGATAGAGAAAATAATCACGTACCCAAGTTACGACAAGGGGAAATACTACGACGACATAGCCCTGCTGAAGCTTGAAAGGGAAGTGGAGTGAGTGCCCACCAAAATAATGGTATTGGTATCAACCACTAATTTTTCAAAAACGATCTCGTAGACTAACGGAATACGTGCGACCAATACGTCTGTGGGTCCTCCCAGAGCTGCCAACGACGATTGCCTTTGCAATGGGGTATGGGGCCACGAGCTTCGCCAAGGCCATGACGAACCGACTGACTAATCTTAACCTGACCATAGTACCGAACGCTGAGTGCAATACCGAGCTGCCGCCAATTGCCGAGACACCTAACGGAGTTCTGGAAAGCCAGATCTGCGCCCAGGATTATATTCTCAACAGAGACACCTGCCAGGGGGACTCGGGGGGTCCGCTGCAACTGAATCTGCCTGGACGTCGTCGACGGCATAGAATACACTACCACCTAATTGGTGTTACCTCTTACGGTGTGTTCTGCCGCAGTAGTTATCCGTCAGTTTACACCCGTGTATCGTCCTACTTAGACTGGATTGAACGTACTGTTTGGACTTAAAATGTAGATAAGTTATCATACCGAGACGAGACGAGGGCTGTGGCGCATTGCGTTAGTTGGTGGCCCGCGAATAATGCGATTGAGGTTCGAGTCCACTCTGAGGCGAAGTGGTTTTATTTTTATCTTCATTTTTTTTTTTTTACTTTGTTTTTTTAGTAATTTTTTTTGTTTTTTATTTTTTTGGTTTGTTTTTAATTTTGTAAGTTCTAAAAGCAGAAGCATTTTGAGCAAATCTTTTAAATTCATTACTTTTGAATTAAAAGTTTATGAAATACGCATCCGAGTTTACTTTTATAATTTTATTTAATTTTTAATTTTTATTGAAGTATACAATTTAAATGCAATTCAGGGACTAAAAATAACAATAATTTTAATTTTTAAACAAAAAAGCAAGCACACAATCCCTAGAAAGAAATGATTTACACCGAAATAATTCAATCCTTTAATGGTCTTTATCATTCTTTCAATTTTAAAAATTTATATTAAGTGAACAATGTTTAAAAAAAAAAAATTACTTTAAAAAAAATGTTGTTTTCAATCGGAGTTGAACTCGGTCCGACAAGATTCGCAGTTGAGCGACTACACCCCTAGCCCACAGTACCTTGTTTAGAGACGTCAGACAGATGCGACATTGAGCCTATTTCGCAGTAGAGCAAACGAAAGTGCACACTAACACAACCAAAGAATCTAACACGGACAACGCACACTAGGAAAATTATAAATCCACTTTCTGAATCCACACCAAAAATTTTGCCGTACATTCAGTTTTATGGGCGTTACACCTCTTAGTGTTTATATTCTCTTTGGTAATACTCTAGTTTACGGTCCTCACCCCCAAAATTCGCGAAAAAATTATCCTCGACGAACCGCGAATTCTTAAGAATTTATATGAAGAAATATAGGCGCGGACTACCATGGTTCTTTCGGAATGGAATTTTAAAGTTACGTGTTTCGCTATAAAAATAAAGTAGCCTTCTCTATGATTTTGAGTGCTTTGCTATAAAAAACATAAGAGCTTTTCATCCATTGTCAAAATAATCTAAGTTCAGAAAAATTCGACCAAAATGTGAAATTGTTTTTATAGGGGGACTTTATCTGTTCGAGAAATGTTAGCCGGCACTCGAGAAACCGGCGGGCGGGTTTCTCGAGTCCCTATTAAGTCCCTAATAGCTATCTGTCGGAAAAACATAAAGACCAGATAAACTGTTCTCAAAAGCAAATCGGTTTTCTCGACTGCTTTAATTTATCTGAACGAGAAACAATTACAGAGTGCTGTTAACGCACAGAATTGTGCTGTAAAGCGCGAAAAATTGCGTGCTTCGATTATTTCATCAGCTGTTTGGGTAGAATTCAAAGGAAAAGAAACTCCAATATGTTTTTTATAGCAAGTCGTAGAAAAGCCAACTTTATTTTTATAGCAAAACACGCAACTTTGAAATTCGATTACAAGTAGACCATGGCAGTCCGCGCCTATATTTCTATATGTAAATTCTTAAGATTTCGCGAATTTTGGGGGTGAGAACCGTAAACTAGAGTATTACCAACTTACATATAATGAAACCAAATCAGGTGTTATGTGCTCGAAAAGCAGAAAGGTTACAAACTTTAAGTAACTGACCAAGGGTGGTAAGATTACACTAGTTTACAAAATAATATTCTTGGTGTGCTCCCCAGCAATTGATGGCAAATTCTGTTAGTGTTGGACCTCTAGACCACGAAAATAGCGTTAATTTTTTTTTCGATGGCACAGTTTTTTTTTAAAGATTTTTTAAAGTTCGAAATATTAAATTTCGGACTTTTTTCGAATTTCTTCTTATATCTCGGCAGATATCCACCCGATTGGGCCAGTTTTAGTTTTATTTTAAAGTCAATAGATCAGAGTTTAACTTTGCCATACAAATCAATATGATTGGATAAGTAATGGCAGCGCAGAAACTTGACAAAGATGAAAAATGTGTTTTTTGGTCGACTGTAAGTCGGCTGTATATAACGTAAAAACTCGAAATAAATCCGTTGAAAAATCATAATGGTTACAAACTTAAAGCTTACATCCTACCGAATAAAACAAGCCGGATATGGCCCAAATCCATGGAAAACTGGATTTATGGTGGATTTTTAAAGATAGGATTTTTTCACTTTTTTCGGTTGACAGAGTCCAAATTTAAGATTTATCATAGGCGGCGACATGTAAACAAAAATGAGTGGTGACGACAGCCGGGTCAAAAAAAAGCTAAATTTAAAAGCAAGAAAATTATAAAATAAATTTAAGTTCTGAAAATTCCTTTAAAACATAAAATTGCTTGCGTTATGACTGTGAATATTTTTAATTAAGTACTATCCATTTGGATAATTCATTCTTATGAAAAAAGTAACCTTAATTTCAAAAATTAAATTCACTTTAATAATTTTCTAGCTTTTAAATATCTGATTTAGCTATTTAGTGACCCGGCTGCCAACACCAATTATTTTTGTTTAAATTTAAATTTGGACTCTGTCAACCGAAAAAAGTGGAAAAATCCGAACTTTAAAAATCCACCATAAATCCGGTTTTCCATGGATTTGGTCCATATCCGGCTTGTTTTATTCGGTAGGATCTAAACTTTAAGTTTGTACCCATTATAATTTTCCAACGGATTTATTTCGAGTTTTTACGATATATACAGCCGACTTACAGTCGACCTAAAAACACATTTTTCATCTTTGTCGAGCTTCTGCGCTGCCATTACTTATCTAATCATATTGATCAGTATGGCAAAGTTAAACTCTGATCTATTGACTTTAAAATAAAACTAAAACTGGCCCAATCGAGTGGATATCTGCCGAGATATAAGAAGAAATTCGAAAAAAGTCAGAAATTTAACATTTTGAACTTTAAAAAATCTTAAAAAAAAACTGTGCCATCGAAAAAAAATTAACGCTATTTTCGTGGTCTAGAGGTCCAACACTAACTGAATTTGCCATCAATTGCTGGGGAGCATTTCGGCTGTAAACTAGTGTTATCGACATAATCTACTTTTGAAAATATAATTAATAATTTATGTTTTACATTAACAGTTTTTATTTTATACGTTTAATTTTACTAAAAGCAATTTTTCTAAGGAGTCGCTCGAAAGGTTTGTTCTTATTTCTGTTAATACTAATTTAAGCGCAGAAAATGACCTTTCCACGCTTACTTGCATTGTTGGAACGCAGTGAACAACCATAGCCAGTAGATACAAGTTTGGGTAAAAGAATTTTTTTTTTGCCAGAACACCATAATATCGGTTTTTGGTTATACCCTGCAGGAAAAATGCGAACTAGTCTGAAAAACAACTAGTTAAATAACTAATATAAAGCAACCGGAATTTGTCTGAATGCATTTGGACTACACAGGGTCTAGAAAATTTGTGCTAGTCGAAAAAATGATTAATACAAAACTAGTAAAAAAGAAACTTGTCTCGGACTAGTACCTTTCTGACAAAAAAAACCTTAAAAATATTTAATTGGTAGAACAAATACATGTTAGGGTCTAGTTAAAAGGCAACTGGAATTTAACTGGTTGCAAATGAAACACATATGATCCAAAAATATAGCCTAGGGTGTAAATGTCTTGGGAAATTTAACACTAAACAAATCAAACACTTGAGGTCCTCGGTTCAATCCCCGGTCTCTGTACATTTTTTTTTGCTTTTTGTTTGGTAGGTGATGCTTTAGTTTTATTTTAAACTTTGTTTAATCTGTCCGAGGCAATATATTTGTGAAAAATCACTGTTTTTGAATTATGTCACACTAAAATTCATAAACCTTGTTAGGGCATTACAAAATGTGATGCGTGTATGGCTCAATCAGTTAGTGTGTCTACAAATCCAAAGGTCCCGGGTTCAAGTCCTAGAGAGGGCAACTTGCCTCAAAAAAAGTATGTTTGATTTAATTCCATTTAATTATCATTTACTGTATTTGATTACATAATAATTATCAGAAATTCTCTAAGGACCGCGCCAATTGATTGGATACTAAATTAGGAGAGCGCCAAGTTAGGCATCGTCAAGTACTAGTGAAATTCAATCACTTGATGGTTTAGAGATTTATTTTTAGTTTTTTCGTGAAAATATTTTTTTGAGTGTAGTTTAACAGCTGTAACTATAAATTGGTTAACAGTAACTAGTGCAAAACTAGTAGCAAATGGACTAGTTGTTTCCGACGACAAGCATATGAAAAATGGACCACTTCGTTACAAGGAAATGGACATAACTTTAACTAGTTAACCTTCTTGACCCAACTAGTATATAAATAGTCCAAAACTGATTCCGTTTCCTGCAGGGTAGGTATCAATTTCACTACACACAAAAAAAAACTATATAAAATCAACTATTTAATAGTGAAAACTGCCCCAACCCATAAAAAATAGAAAATGCCCCAAAAAAAAGTAGATTTTTGTTTTTTTAAATTTATGTTTTTAATTTTTTTTATTTTTAATTTAATTTGTTATATTAATTTATATGGAAGTTATTTATAGACACTTACATTTCACAGATACTTAAACTTACAAATCAGGTTTTTTGCCTCCGCTGGGAATCGAACCGGGGCCGCAACCATCAGAGTCAAGCACTCTAACCACTAGGCCACAGAAGAATGCTTTTTGTAGAGGAAAATCTATAGACTTGAAATCAACATTTAACAAAAAAAAAAAAAAGAAAAATATCATCTGCAAAAGCGGGATTTGAACTCACGACCCAGAGATTATGAGTCGAATAGTCCAACCCCCTAAGTCCAGAAAAATAGTTCACATACAATTTATAATCGTATTTTTAAAACCACAAAATATATGAAGGAAAAAAGTAGTTGTGTTACGATATTAATTGTGGTGTTACTATTTAATTCCCCAAAAATAAAACAACAAAATACACGCAAACAAATAAAATAGTTTTGCTACGATATTAATTGAGACGTTACTATTAATTTGCCAAATGAATAAAACAACAAAATACATGCAAATTTCGTAAATAGGTTTTCTACTATTTTAATT